TTGCTGTGAGCCAAAAGCATAATGTACACCCTGTGCTGTACAGAGTAGCCACGAGTCCCGACAGCAAAGGCAGATTGGAAGGAACTGCTGAGGCAGTGGCCAGGTCAGATAGTATCAAGTCAGCAGTCTTAAAAGACCTCAGGCAGAGCAACATACGAGAGGCCAAAGGCAGGAGAGCTCAAGGAGATCAGCCAGAAAGCAAATGAAGGGATCAGTACTGTCAAAGCTGAGAGATCAGCACGAAAGGAATGGGGTGGGGAGGACGGGGTGAGGGAAATAGGGGTCAATTCAGCAAGTAGCTATTGCCCTAACAGAGGGCTCCAGCTAGTATTTTCTTTTCTTCTGCCTGCCTCCAGCCTTATATTCCCAGGCAACTTCCTAGCCCCTATATTTCTGCATGCCCTAGAATTCAAGTCCCCCCTAACCTAACCTCATCCCACCCAACTTCGTCTCTCTGATTTGCTTAAAGGGAAAAACCGTCTGCGTTATTTCATAGGGTTTCAGAGCCCCTAGAAGAAGATAAGGCATTGCTGTTACTGCTCCTGACAGTAGCTGGCTATTTCACTATTTCTGAGTTACCAGCCTTCTCACACATGCCCTGGTGGTTTCTGCTTGCGTCTGCTAATGCTCTTAGCCTCCCTGACTTCTTTCATCTTCCTTTCAAAGGTTCATCTCAAGTCCTACCTCTTTCATTCAGCCTGAGTGAGCCACTCCAGTCCCCATTACCGTCTGCCCTGTGCACAGCTCTGGGTAACAGAATACCTCTCTGGAGGCCTTAGTTTCTGTGAAGACTAGGCATCATGATTCCATGCCCTGACTTCTTGCACAGGGATCAAATGTTTAGGTCAAGATCATAGCCCACAGCACTTTTTTAACCTGTGAAGCACTCTGAGGAAGCGAAAGTTGTTGTAAGAGGTGCTTTGGTGTTACAAAAAAAGGACAATGGAATTTGGGGATCTGAATTTTGAGTTCTGTTTGTATTTCTGCTCTACCACTTACCCAGTTGATGACCTTAAAAAGGTTTTTATTTCTTTGTAAAATGAGAATGACACTATTACAAGGATTACAGTGCTGGTGCTGACTTACACACCAATTTGTAAGAGCCAGTGGTAACTTTGCAGGTAGGTTACTCAACTATTATTAGCTTGAAATCTGCCATGGTGGGAGTATTTATACCAGAGAAATTAGTAAACACTACAAATCAGAGTGTCCCGGTTTTGTTTTGTTGTGTTTTTTCCCCCTTTTTTCCCCCCTGCAGAGCTGTTTTACCACTATATTGCTGATTATGCATACTGGGCTGTGTAAATTGTAAGACACTTAGTCTCATTTATCATTAGGAGGAGTAACAGTAACAGTAATGCTTTGTATCCACAGAACTTAGCTTAGTGCAAAGCGCAGCTCCTAGCATATATTTAATTAGTATATTTTTAATTTAACTTGGGTTCGCCCTTGTATTATTTTGATACTTCTGCCCTAAGCTAAAGGACTCCCCCCCATCCTTATCTCTTCAAATCCCTCTCTACAAAGTGTCTTTTTAAAATCAGATAACATTGGGGCACCTGGGTGGCTCATTGGGTTGGGGCTTCTGCTTTCAGCTCGGGTCCTGGTCCCAGGGTCCTGGGATCAAGCCCCGCATTGGGCTCTCTGCTCCGCGGGGAGCCTGCTTCCCCCTCTCTCTCTGCCTGCCTCTCTGCCTACTTATGATCTCTGTCAAGTAAACAGACAGAATCTTAAAAAAAAAAAAAATCAGATAACATAAATAATAGCCGGGTATAGTGCATAACACTCAGTAAGACTCAAGCCCTCCCTGTCTGTAACTGAGCTAATTACCTTCTTTCCAAACCTTTCTTTCTTCTGATATTTCATATCTCAGTTGATGATATTGCCCATCTATCCATTACCCCAGGTGAGTTATCCAAAAGTCTTCCTCTCTTTTCCCTTGTCCTTACCCATACCCAAGTCTAATCAATCATTAAATCTTGCTTATTCTGCCTCTTCAATCTATCCCCTCCTGCTCATTACCACTGCTCCTGCCTCGGTTCGGGCCCTCATCATTCCCACTTGAAGTCTTCCTCCTAAGGGATACATTGACTTTCGGTGTTTCCCCTTCAATCCAACCTCTACTTCTATAAATGTAATTTCAAATTACAAATTTGAAGGGCGCCCAAGTGGCTCAGTCGGTTAAGAGTCTGCCTTTGGCTCAGGTCAAGATCAGGGGTCCTGGGATCAGCCCGGCATTGCATGAAGCTTCCTGCTCAGCGGGGAGTCTCTTCCGTTAACCGCCCCCACCCGCCCCGCCATGTGCATGCACATGTGTGCTGTCCCTCAAATAAAATCTTTACAATAAAATAAATAATTAAAAATTGGACCAAATCACTCCTTCAATTCAAATTTCTTAATGGCTGGCTGTTGTCTCGAGGATAAAATCCAAAAGTTTCGGTTTGTCATCTGGGCCCACCACTTCCAAATACTTCCTGCAATGTCTAGTACCACTTTTATCTGGTTTACCCTCCAACCCAAGCAGCATTTCCTCTATGACTTCTCTGGACCTATTTGATGTTTGTTTTTCTGAGCTCCTGTAGCACCTTATTCATGTCTGTGTGCCATATATCTAACCACATGGCTCTTATTGTCCATTGGTCTTTCCCTCTAGATTGTAAGTTCCTATAGAGCAGAAGCCTAGGTACCATTCATTAATTCCTAACACATTGTATAGCTTATAATAGAAGCTTAGTACATGTTTACATGAATGAATGAGACTTCAAAGGAAAGGGTATTTTCATTGGTTCATTCACACAAGCTACTCATAGGGTATCGTGATGAAAAAAATGCTTAAAATTTGGATCTCAGTAATGCAGATGAGAAATTCATAATAAGGGGATAGCTTCTTTTTATCTGTAACCCCCAATATGGGATACTATGACCCCCATCAACTAAAATTTAAGACTCTTAGCTTAGCATACAAAGCTCCTTTCAAAATGGTCCCTTTTTTTTTTTTTAGAATTTTTAAAAAAGATTTTATTTATTCATTTGAGAGAGAGTGTGAGAGAGAACACAACCAAGGGAGAGGCAAATGGAGAGAAAGAGAAGCAGACTCCATGCTGAGCCTGACGTGGGGCTCCATCCCGAGACATGGAGATCATGACCTGAGCCGAAGGTGGAGGTTTAACCATCTGAGCCACCCAGGTGCCCCTCATCCCTGACTTTCTCTGCATTCTTTCTTTCTCTCTGTATATGTACATACAACCTACACTCCAGCCACTTCGATCTGTCATATATTCCGTCGTCTTTCAGGCATCCTTGCCCTTGTTCATACTTTCTCCACCCTTGTTGTATCCTCTCCTTCTTCTCTCACTCACCCCTTCTTCTCTCACCCCTTTCTTGCCAACCCAATGAGATTCTACACTTCTAACACTGATCAATAGTTAGCACCTTTGGGCAGCTAGCCCTCAAAGTGTCTCCCTCTTCTGTGTTCCTGGAGCACTTTGTTGATTCCTGCTGAGCACTGTGCTGTCAGTCACTGTTGGTCTGTTTCTTACCCCCTCTGTAAAGTGAGATTATCTTTATACCCTGGTTCCTGTTAAACATATCCTAGATGTTTAGTACAGAGTGAAGGAAGGAGTAATTATTATATAAGGATTTATAAAGAAAGTAAATCTCTGATAAGAGACAATGAATTAAATTTAAGATTGAATTTGCATGAACTGACCAATCTAGACAATTCCATGTCTTTATTTTCAGGGATTGCGTAGCCCCGAGAAATTGGTACTAATGGACAGATCAGAAGCAAAGAATAAGCTTAAAGCACTGGTACTTAGTTTGTTGCTCCAGATTTGACACATTATAGTAAAAACAGATTTTATATCTTAGGAATTTGTGTTGTCACTTATGTGAGACATTTACCTCCATGACTTAACAAATATCTTAGAAAGCACAATAATGCCCCAGTAGAAAAAAACACTAAAGAAAACAGAAAAAACTCGAGCAGGATGTTGTTCCTAATAAAACAATGTTTATCAAGACATTTAATTTTGGAAAGGGAAACAATTTTTTTTTTCTGATTAGGAACCTAATATATAATATTTGCCAGTCTGTTTAGGCTGCTATAACAAAAATACCAGAGACAAAATGGCTCAAACAACAAATAGGTATTTCTCACAGTTGTGGAGGCTGGAAGTCCGGGATCAAGGCACTGAAATATTTGATATGTCTGGTGAGGGCCTGCTCCCTGGTTCATAGACAGCGGTCTTCTCACTGTGTCCTCACAGGGCAAAAGAGGCAAGGGGGCTCTCCAGAATCTCTTTGAGAAAAGGGCATTAATCCTGTGAGGGCTCCACCCTTATGACCTAACCACTTCCCAAAGGAATTGAGTTTCAGCGTATGAATTTTGGAGCAAGGGGACAAAAACATTCATTCCATAGTGACATATTAATGCAGAATGCTTGGAATATTTTGAAAAACACTACATAAACCCCTCCCAGATCTAACCACCTAGAATTAACAATAGTTAATAGTTAACAATAGTTAATTCTTGGGATATATTCTTCCAGTCTTTTTTCTTATATATGTATTTGTATGTCCTTTCCATTTAAAGGACGGGGATGGGTGAAACAGGTGGTGGGGATTAAGGAGTACAAGTGTTGTGATGAGCACCAGGTAACGTATTGAGGTGTTGAATCACTCTATTGTACACTTGAAACTAATATTACACTGTATGTTTACTGGAATTTAAATAAAAACTAAAAAATTATAAGGGTTTATGTTGTATATATGGTTCTAACCTACTTTTTATATTAACATGTAATGAACGCTTTCTCAGGTTCATACGGACTCTTCTACAACATGATTTGTAATTACTGCACAGTATCCCACCGTTTGGATGTATACCGGTGTTTAACCAATCTCCATCGTTTCAATGTTTTTATTATTATAAGCAGAAGTGTGGTAGTGTGGGTGACTCAGAGAAAGGTGATCTCATGTCCTCCTCCTCTTTTCCCCAGGTTTTGGAGCCCTCTCTTGCATCCGAATTCTGTGCCACTAATCCTCTGAGTGTCATCTCAGGATCCTGGGCATACTCATGGCACCATGGCCAATACGCAGGAGCCCCTGAGCTGCTCCTCTTCCCCACACTTGCCCTCGAGTGAAAGCAGGACCTTCAGCAGACTCCAGGATGAACTCACGCCTGTGGGGAACCACCCTTCCCCCACGCTTCTTAAGGACCAGCAGGAAAAGGGGGTGGCACAAACAGAGCTAACTGAGAGCATGAACAGCCCCATCACCACAACAGTGTTGACAAGTGTGAGTGAGGATTCCAGGGACCAGTTTGAGAACAGCGTTCTTCAGCTGAGGGAACACGATGAATCAGAGATGGCCATGTCTCAGGGGACCAGCAACACCATAGATGGAGAGAGCACAAGTGGAACTGAAGACATCAAGATCCAGTTCAGCAGATCGGGCAGCGGCAGTGGCGGGTTTCTGGAAGGACTGTTTGGATGCTTAAGGCCTGTATGGAATATCATTGGCAAGGCATATTCCACTGATTACAAATTGCAGCAGCAAGGTAAGCTGCAGTGTAAACACACCACCACCATTCCCTGGATAACCTTGATTAAAACCCTAGTGCCAGGGCGCCAGTGCCTGTGCCAGTGGCTTAGTGGGTTAAGCCTCTGCCTTTGGCTCAGGTCATGACCTCAGGGACCTAGGATCGAGTCCCGCATCGGGCTCTCTGCTTGGCAGGGAGCCTGCTTCCTCCTCTCTCTCTCTCTCTTCCTGCCTCTTTGCCTGCTTGGTCTCTCTCTGTCAAATAAATAAATAAAATCTTAAAAAAAAAAAAAAAAAAAACCCTAGTGCCAGATGAATACCCTATACCGATCTCCTAAAAACCTTCTGACTGCAATAGATTCACATTTGGTTGGTCTTTTCTGGCCAAAGCCCATCTTCTGTAGTTGTCCAGTCTAGGGGTATCAAGTAGAGCACATAGAAGACAATCCACAGTGTTAGGAGGAAGAAAATGCTAGAGCTCCTGTTCCTTCTATCATCATTTTAAGTTTCTATTTTCATCCATGTTTTCATATATGTTTGATATTTTAATAAAGTTGTATAGATACATAACAAAAATAAATCACATAGTGCATGTTTGAAAATTTTTTTGTTGAAAGTTCATGCAATGATGGCCACTGGATAGCCACTGGATTAATTCAAAACCAGACAGAGGCCATGTGGTTTCGTGCCTGAAGATTGTGTCCTGGTTTAGACTGTAGTAAAAACGAATTATTTTCTTACAGCCCAGACACAGAAAGCTCACATTGTGAGGAAAGAACAAATATACAACCAATCTTGAGAAGCATTATTATGTCTAGACCCCACAGCTTTTTAAAAAGTAAATTAACTCCCATCACGGTATAACATCCATATCCATCTATTCCAATTCAAGCATTATGCTTCTGAAGGAAAGAGAGCACATGGTCCTAGTGTTCTTTATCACTTCATTTCTGTTCTTTAAAAGAGTTTTTTCTTCCTGATAGCAAGAGTAATATATATGGTTAAATTGGAATATACAGGTAAGTGTCCCCCCAAAAGTAAAAATATTTATCTATGATCCTCGGTCTCCACTATTAATGTTTTTGGTATATGCTATGTTAGTCTTACTATGTGTGTTTGTGTGTGCTTTAAAAAAAAAAAACCAGAGTCAAATTATTTCATTATGCCTTTTCATTTCACATTTTGAATATTCCCCATATCATGAAATATACTTCAGCATTTTTAATACCTACATAATTCTAAATTATGTGTATGTGCCAAGATTTCTTTAAGCAATCCTCTATTCCTTGACAATTTGTTATTTTTTAGTGATTATAAGCTATACTGCAATGAACAACTGTTTATTACTTAATTTTCACACATATCTTTATGTCTGTGATCATTTTTACTATATCTTTGATTTCCTGAAGATAAGTTTTTAGAAGAGGAATGGTTGGGTCAAAAGGGTTCATGGCTTTTTGAGGCTTTTTATACACATAATTGTAGGCTTATATAAATGATTCCATTGTTAACAGTTCTCTCATCAAGAAATTTTGGAAAGGACCAGAAATGTAGACCAGAAATGAGAGTCTGTCTTATTTGTTTTATAACTGAATGTTGGACTCTGTGACTCTCTCTTAATATATTCATCTGGGGGTGCCTGAGTGGCTCTGTCAGTTGATTGTCTGACTTTGGCTTAGGTCATTATCTGGGGGTCCTGGGATCGAGCCCCACATCAGGGAGCCTTCTTCTCTCTCTCCCTCTGCCCCTCCCCTCCCCCCTCAAATAAATAAATAGAAATCTTTAAAAAAATTAAATATATATATATATATATATTCATATCTTTCAGTTGAGACTATTGACAGCTTTTCCACAACAGCCAGTCAACCTCAGTCACTATTGACCACTTTTCTGTGTATTCTGTTTTTCCGATTTCTGAAATATTTTCCTTAAACCTATATCTCTCTTTTTTTTTTTTTAAAGATTTTATTTATTTATTTGACAGAGAGAGATCACAAGTAGACAGAGAGGCAGGCAGAGAGAGAGAGAGAGGGAAGCAGGCTCCCTGCTGAGCAGAGAGCCCGACGCAGGACTCGATCCCAGGACCCTGAGATCATGACCTGAGCCGAAGGCAGCGGCTTAACCCACTGAGCCACCCAGGCGCCCCAAACCTATATCTCTCTTAAACCTCTCCCTCTATACGCTTTCCTCATAAGTGTATTGGGATTTGCTGGTAAATCCGTGGATCCCAGTTGTGCTTTCCAGGATTTGTCAGTCACAGTATCCTTTCCTGTCAGTCACAGCATCCTTTCCTGTACATGCCGAACATCTTTGTCAGTCTGTAAGGTTGTTCTGTCTGTCTGTCTGTCTCACTGTCTTTCATACATCCTGCACATTCCACCCTTCTTTCACCCTCTATGGTCTTAAAGTTTCAGGAATTAAAAAGTTGTTCCTTGTCACACAAAGGTGGGGGATTTCAAAGTTAAACAGTGTTATTATTTTTAAAAATGGGAATAAAGATAAGCATAAGGAGGAAAATAAAAAATCACTTGTTATCCCACAACCCAGAGATAACCACCCTTAATTTATTATTTTTTTAAAAGTTCCCTCTTCTCTGCTTAGACACAAAACCTACTTATATCTGCTTATGTGATAAAACTACATTGGGCTTTTAGGGTCTTAACTTGTTCAGTCTAATAATTATTTTGGTGGTAATTTGGAGATCTCAGGATCCAAATGCAGCATCAAGGTTCAGGCTCATAAAGAGGGGAAACAGACACATCCTATGTATCCATCAAAAGGAGCTTTAAAATTTGGGAGGGGGGGGTGCCTGGGTGGCTCAGTCCATTATGAGTCCGATTCTCTATCTCAGCTCAGGTCTTGGTCTTAGAGTTGTGAGTTCTAGCCCTATAACAGGCATGGAGCCTACTTAAATAAAAAAAATTAAAAAAAAACTTTTTTAATTGTCCTGTAAACTTGTATTTAATTGTCTTCTGATTGATTATGTGACTGACAGAAAGGCTTATTTCAAGAGTAAATAGGAAACGGGCCTGGTCAGCTTAAGCTTACAGGGCAGCTTATAGCTGCCTAACTCTTCAGCAGATGACAGTCTATCCTCCTGTGGGCTGGTGTGGCCGGAGCCCAGAAAGAGATTCACTAGCCAGAAACCAAGGTAGTTTTTTCCTTGTCAGCTCTGGGATCCGGGAGCTAATCTTAATCCTGGATTACAGTCAACCAAAGGAGAGCACACAGAACAGCTGTTCTCTGCATTCAATACTTAAAGGGAAACTTCACTTGATTTTACAGAAATCTTAATGAGCTCTTCATCTCCCATTTAGTTGGTTGGTAGTGAAGTCCAAGTAAGGTAGTATGTGTAATAGAAATATTTTACTGCCAAATAGTTCCCAGTCCTAAAGCCAGGATTATCATAGCCATGTCTGAATACAAACAAAGGAGAACGTAGGCCTTAAAAGTGGGTGGGCATGGGGCTTTTTCTCGGTCTTAGAGATCACAGTAGATATTGGAATTAAGAAAATAGTCATAGTGATGAATCAGAAGATAGAAGCTGGGGAGGAGTACCAATGGACAGATATAAAAGCAGAAAGTCTGGGACGAACCCTAGAGAGAACACAGCCAGGTTCCATTGTTACGTCGTTATCTTGCTGTCCATTATTGGGTCCCCCAATTTTGCACATCCTCATTGCTATCATTCTTTTTCCTGTCACTTTCCTATCCTTGGCTCCCAGCTAGATATTGTCAGGGACATCGGGATGGGATAAAAGGACTAAATCACATCAGTCAGTTTTACTTCTGAAAATTAGTTCCAGGGAAAACATTTATGGAAAAGTGGTTGAAGTGTCATTTAATACTCTGTTCCTGGATTACCAGTGTGGTCCCCTCTATTTTCCTTTGGAAAATTAACACTTTGCTAACCACAGCTGAATAACACAGGCATGAGCTACTATTGGCAGAGGAAAATTTTATTCTCTAGTATAATCTCATCAACCTTTGGTGTTCCCATTTCATAAAAATGCTATATAATAGGCATTATTTACTTAAAAATATAATAAAGTGTAGGGGCACCTGGCTGGCATGGTAGAGCATGTGACTCTCAATCTTGAGACTGTGAGTTCGAACCCCGTGTTGGGTGTACAGTTTACTTTAAAAATACATATATATTAAAAATATAGCAAATTATAATACAAACATTATAAAATGATATGAAAAGAAAGAATTATTTAACAGATTGGTTTGGAATCATTCAGTAACAACATGAAAAAAATTACTGTGCCTCGGTCCTCACACCACACACCAAGAAAAACTCCAGTTGGATGTATAGGTTCAACTTTTTAAAAAATCAACTGTAGATCATTCTCAGAAGATTGACTAGGCCATAGAAGATATTACAAAGGAAATGACAGGCATCTATGAAAACATTTTGTTCAAAAAACAATAAAATACAAAGTCTTTTTAAAAAATTCTCTTCATAGGTATCAAAGAAGTAGAAAAACTCCTTCACATTTATGAGAACTGTGAGACCCCTGACAGATAAATGCACAAAGCAGAAATGTGACAATCCATGCAAAGCAGATGTGAGCATTAAACAAATGTGGAGAAAATTATTCTACATCCCTGGCAATTAAAGTGGTGCGAACTTGGGACGCCTGGGTCGTGCAGTCAGTTGAGGGTCTGTCTCTTGGTTTCAGCTCAGGTTGTGATCTCGGTGTTGGGAGTTTGAGCCCCGCATTGGACTCCCTGCTTGGTGAGGAGGCTGCTTGGGTTTCTCTTCCTCTCCCTCTGCCTCTGCCCCTGTGTGCATTGTCTCTCTCAAATAAATAAATCTAAATGAATGAATGAATGAGTGAGTGAGTGAATGAATGAAGTAGTGCAAACTTATAAAACATTATTTACATCTAAATAACTTAGAACCCAAAAGACTATCAACGGTATTCATTGCTGGCAGAGTTACACTCATTCATTACTGCTATCAGCAAAAACTAGTGAAGCCCTTTTGGGTGGCAAGTTAGAAGGTATAGCAAAAGCCAGGAAACGGTACTCTAACCTAAGAACTGAGCCTGAGGAAATTGTATAAAGAAAGAAAAAAGTATCAAATCTGAACCAGCAAACAAAAAGACGGAAACACAAGTACGGAAAAGGTCAACGAGTACCGTTAAGCCACTACTAAAGCTTATAATGAGATCTGTATATACATGGGGAACACACAATACATGAGAAAAGTAGAAAAGGTTATGTGTCAGCTACAACTTCTATAAAGGTGCATACATATGAGCAAAGAGTGGAAGAGAAGATGAAAACTGAATATGGAAAGGGATTGCAGATTAAATACTTCGGGGTTTTTTTTTTTTTCCTAATATTTGCTGGTGTTTCTAGCATTTCACAGTAAATAAAGATTGAGTAAATAGGGGGGAAAAACACCCAAAGAGGTCTAATTTTAGTAGTTATCATATGAAAAATTAAGCTAACTTGGGCTTTCATAAATTTTTCAGAAAAATATTGCCCAGGATGTGCTTGCCCCAGAATCCAATAATAGTTTCTTTCTTTCTTTGGCCCCAGAATGGCCAAAGTGACACTGTGTCTAGTTCTTCACTGGACCTCTCACAGGTAAAACCCTCTGCGAGTATGCCATCGATATCTGGGTCCTGTGGGTGCTGCACAGATAAGCCTGTGGGGACGATGGTGGGCTGGGTGAAACACTTCATACTTCATACTTGTCATTTGAAGCCAGAAAGATCCTCAAAGCAGTCAAGCCCATAACTCACTCTTTCCTCCTGCATTTCACTTGGTTTCATTTGTTTATTTGGTGATTTCATGTTTGTGAGCTATTTGTAGTTCAGAGAAATTTGTTTTTATGTAGCATCTATCTAATTTCCATAGAGCAAATACAGAAGAATGGGTTAAATACCATGCTTTCAGACACCCTCACTATCATTTGTTCTGCTCTATGTCATCCTTTCTGGAAGGTCATGTTTTAACTGCTATAATGAGAAGCCGCATTTTACAAAGAATCTACAGGATTTATTTTCTCTCAAGCTTGAGAAAATGAGAGATGAGGGAAATGTGGTTCCCTTCTAGGTACTGATAACTTCTTTCTGCTCTTCATCACCATAGTAGGTGGGAGCTGATTTGCTTTCAAGACCAGAATATCTTCAAAGCTGACTCAACACTACCTTGTTCAGTATTCTGCAAACAGTGACCTTTCGGTGACTGGTGATCTAACAAAAACCCCCGTAACCTTTAACATTGTCCTCATCCTCTCCTCACTCCATGGGACGCCTCGTTCTTTGATGTTTATTTCTTACCAGTGTAGTGACAGTTTGCTGATAAAAAGGGGGACAAGGAGAAGGATCCATGGATCATATTCTCCTTTTTAAGTTCCACGAGATTAAAGCATGTATTGATTGGGTTTTTGAAGTATTTTATTTAAAATAGCATTTTATTACTTATAAAAGTAATATAAGCTCATGGTAAAAAAAAAAAGTTCAAGAAAGGATAAAGAGCATAATATGAATCATCAATAATGTGACCACTTAGAAATGACTCCTATTACCTATTTGGTGCAAAGAAAATCAAATTCTAAGAAAGAGAAACTTGAAATTACTGCATCTATATGAGTAAATCTATCATGGCTAATGACCCTCACATTTACTTCATGGGAGGCAATGTGGCATAGTGGGGAAAGCACTGGCCCTGGTATCAGCCAGTTCTTGAGTCTGGGCCCAGTTCTGCCACTTACCAGCTATACGACCTTGGGAGAGTCACCTAATCTCCGTGTCTCGGTTTTCTCATCTATAAATAACCATAATAAGGCCCAACTTCCAAGATTGTTGAAAGGATCAATACATGAGATATATAAAGCTTTTATGCTAGTGTCTGGCACATAGTAGGTGCTCAATAAAAGGTAAATATTAATATAAATTTTATGCATAATTAGGCCCTTGGGAGAGTATTATTGACAGTTCATCTAGGAAGGATTAACTGAACATCTGCAGTAGAAATTCAAAGAGGACTAAAACAACACTGACTTACAATGGGTGATGGGGTAGGGATAGTGGTATAGAGACAGATAAGTGGATTGTACATGCAAACTGGAAGTGAGGAGGTGGGCTGTGGGAATGTCAAGATGTGTTTTGTTTGGAGGAGGGTATATTGGAGATCTCTGATATGCTTGATTTCATTGGCTAAAAATTGATACAAATTGGGGCACCTGGGTGGCTCAGTCAGTTAAGCCTCTGTCTTTGGCTCAGGTCACAATCCCAGAGTCCCAGGATGGAGTCCCACATCCCACGTAGGGCTCCCTGGTCAGCAGGGAGTCTGCTTCTCCCTCTGACCCTCTCCCCCTTCTCATGCTCTCTCTCACTCTCTCTTTCTCTCTCAAATAAAATCTTTTTAAAAAATGATACAAAGTAATACATGAGAATATCTGATCTATTGTATCAAGACCCATAGGAAGGTTATATCTTTTGGAGAGTTACAGGTGAGAGTCCAAGGGTAGAGATCATTCTGGGTGATACTGAAGTTGGTACCTTTGGAGTGACCTTGTAGAACCGTCCCTGAGCAAATTCTGAGATCTCTCTAAGTTTGTTTCTTGCTTGTGTACCTAGATACTTGGGAAGTGCCATTTGAGGAGATCTCAGAGCTGCAGTGGCTGGGTAGTGGAGCCCAAGGAGCTGTCTTCTTGGGCAAGTTCCGAGCGGAGGAAGTGGCCATCAAGAAAGTGAGAGAACAGAATGAGACGGATATCAAGCATTTGAGGAAGTTGAAGCACCCTAACATCATCGCTTTCAAGTAGGTCAAGGCTTCTTCTTCTTCTTCTTCTTTTTTTTTTTTTAAGAAATAGATTTTCTTTCTCCCAATTTCTACTAATGAGTTCCTGTCTTGAAAGACTATAGACTTAGTACTGTGCTAGGTATTTGGGGAAGACACCAAAAAATGATTAAATGAAAGTCATGTCTTTAAGGATCATATAATCTGATAGTTCTTTATACCAGAGCTCAGCCTTCCTGGAAAGGGTGTACATGGGACAGAAAGGGAATGATGCTTTTTTTTTTTTTTTTTTCTGGTGGAAAAATGGGTTCTTACCAAGAAATCATATCTGATGACTCAACCTCATTTATCAGTGGGATGATGGAGGTCACTCTGAGATAACCTGCCCATCTGAAAGTTCAGTTAAGAAAACAAGGCTGGTATTTGCAGTGATCATAGAACAATTAGTCTCTGTGTAACAGAGAGGTTTTTTTTTTTTTGTATTAGTTTCTATTAGCCTCCCTTTTTAAATATGAACTTGTTCTAAGAGGGCACCCTGAAAATGTTTCTCCCTGCCTCAGTGATCCCTTTTCAAGTAATGCCAAATACTCAGCTTTCTAAGTCTAATGACAGTTGAATTACTGATGAGAGTAAGTTATATGCTATGTTCATGCCACAAGGTAGTTGTTTTCAAGAGTGTATGAACATCTTTCTAGGTCAGACTATTTTCATAATACAGCGGGGGTCACTAGCAGAAGGGGAGGCACAAAGGTACATTTGTGGCAGTCCTCAAACCTGGCAGTGTTGAGCCCTAAATATGTGTAATGTCTTCTGCCTCTACCTGTCCCTTGCCAGGCTTCCCATTCTCTTGCCAGCCTTCAAATTCTGCCCCAGCCTGAAACAAACGAATGATGAGCAGCTTTACAGGAGGGAAGGTGAAGAACAGGAAAGCTAGTCTTCAGGTGGAATGACAGTTAGAAACTAGAGCTTCTTGGTATGTTTGATATATGTAGTTCAGTCCCAGAAAATAGTATGACTGATGAGGCTACCGCTGAAAGTGGAATAATTTACAAGCCTTCCTTCCTGAAAGTAGGAGAAACTTCTCCCAGCCCCCAAGAGGGATCTTCTCATGATAAAACTCTCATTATAAAGGTAAACATGTCATGGGATCATTTTTCATTGGAATCACACTCCTCCTAAGGAATAGAAATCTTAGGTACGGATTCTGTACAATGGGTTTAAATGAGCTTGATGCTGAGTCTTGATTCCCAAACAAGACCCCTTTATGGAAAGGGAAAGAGATGTGGAAAAGGAGATAAGCATCCAGCTGGGATACTAAATGGAGCTCTTCGATGCATCTCCTTGTGGAAGGGACATGCATACAGTGGGCATGGGAGAGAGCTTTGGTTGCCCTAGTGATTTCATCCTTTGTTGCCCTGTTAGGGCCAGGAGGATGTGAGGCGAAAATGAAATGCTACAGAGACTAATTATACTCTTTCCAAAGATGATACATTTCCAAAGACAACAGAAGGATTATTTTTAAGCAGACAGACTCCCAAGAGACTCCTTTCCTTCCTCTTACTTCACCAAGAAAATCATCCCTTCTAGTATGCTACATCCTAGATGGAAGAAAGGTTCTCTCACTTAACTTCTGTTGAAAAACTTTCAGGCTTCAATCACTAGGACGCTGAGTTTGAGACACTTAATATTCTACAGATTGGCATAGCTTTCTGGCCTCCTGATGTGGGCTGGGCTATCTGTCCCAGGTACGAGGTCTTTCCAGCAGGTTGTCCCGGGTAATAAAGGGAGAGATGTGTTCTGTGAGAAGCTTGGTTTTTCCTTCCTTTCTTTTGCTTTCTCTTTTTTCCTTGCAACGTTTTCTGTACCTCATTCTCCTGACCCTCCTACCTACATGTACAGATTCTGCATTTTGGACACGTATGGCCGTGCCGGTGCCCCACTTTTTAGGCAGAAGATGCTTGAGTAGTCTTTACCTCTACATGGAAAACAATAGTGAGACTGTGTCCCTGGTTCATTACCGCATGCTCTTGAGGCATTGTGCAGTGCTGTGTTTGCAACCATCTGTGCCATGTGTTGCTTGGCCAATGAATCATTCAGGACCGTCTGGAAGATACGAAGGCATGATTAGATTTTAGTATGTCTCTCTGGATACTCATTGCTGTGCTTACAGCTTCCTTCAAAGTAAGAACCATGTACAGAAGGGGAAGCGAAAGAAAAGAATTCTGTATTTTTTTTCCTTCCAATTTTTTTGAAAGCAATCTTTTAGGAAGACCTAATCTGACTGTTCCTAATGGAATTGGGTGCCAAGGGGAAGAAAAGGTAGCAATTAGAAGTCATTAGAGAGCTGCTATTTATAGCCACTGAGAAGCCTTGTCATACATAGTACAAGGCTGATGGCATGATTGCTTCTCATTCATCAGTCAAGAAAGATGAAAAGCACATAACATATCACCCTTACCCCTTTCTGTCTGTTTGCGACAAGTTAAAACATGGTTGACTAGGATGCTGGGTAGCTTCAAGCCAATATTTATTTTAATATTCTTAAGCACATTATATTATCCCCGCCTATTCTTTGTTTTCCTGTAATGAAAATTAAATTGTCTGATTACGGTTGTGGTCTATCTGGGCTCCGCCAAGTTCTCCTAAGAGTCAAATAACAGAAACTTGAAAAAAAAATTTTCATTAGAAATGAAGATGAGAATTCTGGATAGCTTGGAAAATGATAGGAGAGTAATAAGAATAACTCTGTGGCATTTGACAAGTGTGTCATGGCAGGGAGAATGAAGACTAATTTTACTTCTTCATATCCTGCTGTCGTTCTGGGACTTTCCCCTGGTTGCAAGCTATGGCCTCTTCATTGTCTCATCGCTTACAGCTGCCTAGGAGAGAAGACATGAGTTTGTAGCTGGCTGAGGACTTTAGACGGGCATCTTGTAGACAGAATAATCTCGGCTCCTCTAGAAAGTTTTGAAAGAAGGCGTACATACTATTAAGAGATGGGATACCGAGAATTGCATTGTGATAATTGTCCTCTTTTCTCATCTTCAGAACAAAAGTGTGGAGTTAATTATTGTCACTTTTCTAGGGTAATGTTGATACAAGAATCCCCAACCTGCTTGTGTACACAGGAGTTACAAAGCACAAAGGGAGGGCAGTGTAGCATAGTGAGTGGAAAGAACATAGGCTTTGAAGTTAGACTAGATTTGAATCCAAGCTCTGTCACAGGTGTATCATCGAGGACAGGTCACTTTCCCTCTCTGAGCCTCACCCGTAAAAATGGAAGATGTATTGTGCAATGGTTGGGGAAGATTAAATCAGACAATTAAATAAGCATGGAACATTCCAGACAGAAGAAGTTCTTCCATGTTAGTTCCCTTCTTCCCACCCCGTGCACCTGCGCACGTTTGTGCAAAGGGTTTAGCAGCAAAGAAAGTTAAGGTGAAGCTAAGAAATATTTGTCAAGGATTTGCTGTGAACTTCTCAGCCTCCTGGTAGAAAGAAAAGAACCTGAAGACCTTTCCCTTCAAGGAGCCTGTGTAGGGAGAGGAAAATTGTGTATAAAAAACGAATGGCTCCTGTGTAGCACAGGAATTTAGAGACAAGAAAGATCTTCATGGACTGGAATCATAGGGAAAGACTTTGTGGAAGATGCAGGAATTGATGGAAATAAAGGCTGTGTAGAAATGTGTTACATTGTATGATATTGCTTTTATTCTAAACAGTAATGTTTTTCAAAGACTATATAATACAGAAAATTGACTCCTTTTTAGTCCTCAGTCTAGTTATCTTAAATTTGATAATTTAAAATTCAACAATTAATATAAAAATAGAAGCATTTTATTTGGATTCTCTCTTTCCCTACCCTATATATAGAACCTTTTATTTAATTTTAAAACGAAGATATTTCAGTTATTCCTAACGATCTAACACAACACAGTACCCGGCCTATACAAGTCTCAGGAAACATGCTCTTTGTCCCAAAATGGAATGGCCCCACAGAGAAGCACTGGTACAGCACAACACAGAGATAATCTGAAGTGAGCAAAATGAACTAAAATTGTCTGTATGAATAATAGAGAAGCTTGTAGACTAGAGGGGTTTTAATGGTAATTGAAGAATCAGGAAAGGTTATGCCTTATTATGTCAATATTATTTTGGTAGAGAGCTGGTCTTAATCATTAAATTTATTAAATATTCTTAAAATCATTAAATTCATTAACTATTCTTAAAATATAAATATGTAAAATAGATATAAATACGTATAGAGGTACTTTTGTATGTAGTGTGAATTTATAAACATATTTGTGTTTTCTTGAAAGGGGTGTTTGTACTCAGGCCCCCTGTTACTGCATCATCATGGAGTACTGTGCCCACGGACAGCTCTACGAAGTTTTGCGAGCCGGCAGAAAGATCACACCACGATTGCTAGTGGACTGGTCCACGGGAATTGCAAGTGGAATGAATTATCTGCACCTCCATAAAATTATTCATCGTGATCTCAAATCACCTAAGTGAGTTTGGGAGTTCATTTTTCAGCCACTTTGTTTTATTGCTTTGAAATAAGGGAATTTTATCAAGCCCGGTTGAGTTTTTCAGACATACTTGCAGTTGAGTTTAAATCGGCACAGTGGGTAATTCTGTTTGCATGTTTTTTGGATTCTCATTGACTGACTTACTCACCTATACAGCAGACAGCTCCAAGCACCTGACACGAGTTTTCCCTTTGTGCTGCTTTTTAGTTGTGCAGCTATAACACGAGATTCATTATTAACTGAAGTGTTCACTCTTGATCATCCCAGATAATTAATGCCACGCTTTCCCACCTTGAAGGCTTGGTTTGTGTTAAAAACTGAGTTTCAGAAAATAGGCTAGGGGTGCCTGGGTGGCTCAGTGGGTTAAAGCCTCTGCTTTCGGCTCAGGTCATGATTCCAGGTCCTGGGATCGAGCCCTGTATCGGGCTCTCTGCTCAGCAGGGAGCCTGCTTCCTTCCTCTCTCTCTGCCTCTCTGCCTACTGTGATCTCTGTCTGTCAAATAAATAAATAAATAAAATCTTTAAAAAAAAAAAAAGAAAATAGGCTAAAAATGCATGAGTAAGAACTGAGGCAAAGAGAAAATAAGAACGTTAGAACTAAAGCTTGCTCACAAAAGACTCTACAGTTGTTAGAGGTGGACTGTAGATTTTGGCTTTGACCTTCAAAGAGTCTGAGCAAAGAAGGAAATAAATAGTCCCAAGGCTCACGGTGTCCATAAGATAATATAAGCTGGCTATTTAAGAGAAGCAGGGTTGTTTCTAGTGATCTGTTATCAAAATGATTCTTTGGCTATCGATAACCACTTTTAAGAGGAGTGCTCATTCACTTCCCCAGACCACATCAAGGGAAGAAAGGAATTGATAAAATGGTGTATTTCAATGTAGCTCCTGTTTTTAAGCATTTTTAATTATCATTTTATTTTTATTTTATTTTTAAATTTAATTTTATTATTTATTATTATCATTTTTATGTATTATTTTATTGTTATTTATTTATTATTTATTATTTTTCACCACAGATTGGTTTAGAGAAGCAGAGAGGAATTAATCTTTTTTCAAAAACAGGTCTCTGTAGTGCTTTCATGGTTTATCGTATTTTTTAAAATATCCATTATCACATCTTCTTTGATGTTGGCAAAAATTGCATGGGGATAGTTGCAACATGTATCATCCTTCTTATTTTATATAAGAAACACGAGGGGGGGCGCCTGGGTGGCTCAGTGCGTTGAGCCGCTGCCTTCAGCTCAGGTCATGATCTCAGAGTCCTGGGATCGAGTCCCGCATCGGGCTCTCTGCTCAGCAGGGAGCCTGCTTCCCTCTCTCTCTCTCTCTCTCTCTCTGCCTGCCTCTCCATCTACTTGTGATCTCTCTCTGTCAAATAAATAAATAAAATCTTTGAGAAGAAAAAAAAAAAAGAGAGAGACACGAGGGACACCTGGGTGGCTCAGTTGGTTAATAAGCATCTGACTCTTGATTTCGGCTCAGGTCATGATCTCGGGGTAAGCTGGGCATGGAGCCTGCTTGTGATTCTCTCTTTCTCTGCCCCACTCTCCCCTTCTCCCTTTCTAAAAAAGAAGGAAAAGAAAAAGAAAAATGAGGGCTCAGAGCCCAAAGTCTTGGCGCTAGGACCTGAGCCCAGAACTTTGAGACCTAAAGCCCCCCACTGCTTCCTACTGGAAGGATTCGCACAGGTTTCTGCCTCCTGTCCACGGGAGATAAAAATCAGTCTTGACTATAAACTTTCAAGCAGCTCTTGTTTCTCACCCTTGTTCTCTGCCATGCTTACCATAGTCGTTAGCTCCCTGAACAGCCCCCTCCTTGCTTTACTTGCAAATAAACTTTATTATAGTCTTCATTCCATCTGCTCACATTCTGACACAACCTGTTACTTTCATCATCCACTACATACACACAAAAGACATGAAACACTTGCCACAGACCTCTTTGAATGGTCTCCTTCCTAACCACCTTGTTCCCCTTAAGAATTAACTGTAGAGGAAGAAGTCGGGAAGTTTTAGAATGTATAAAATCACATGCTACTTTCTCTAGCTCCTGTCATTTAAAGATTAGGGTAATAAGTTACACAGGGAGACGTTCCCTCTGTTATCAGCACTCCCTTGAACTTCCGGCAGCCTTGGCCTCTTTGGGTTTCAAGCTGACTTTGAGAAGACAAAGATTAGTCTGGCTTGCTTTAGAGACAAATGTCATTACCCACATTAAATCTTGGGCTGGGTGACTCCAGCTTTGTCTCAGAGAAGACTTTATACAAGTTCTAACCTCATGTGCCCTGTAGTCTCTCCCCATGCCCATTCCCTCAAAGTATGTACATTCTACATATCAGGGGCAAAACCGGGGGTCGGACATGGAGGAAGGTATTCTAGAACAGTTGTAAGCAGAGCCGTTGGGTAACTAGAGAGCCGTGTGACACTGGCAGGGAGAGGGGCAACTGTGAAGTCCCTGGTTCAGAGAAGGGAGGAGAGAGATTGAGAAGTTTTCTGTTTTCTAGCCACCTCAATTCTGATACTTGAATATCAAGCCCCCTTCTTATGAAGAATAGGTCTCTATCATTAAGCCTCTGAAACCCTAACTCATTAACATTCTAAAGTTCCAAACAGGTTATATCAAGTGAATTCAGCCCGGTTTGTCAGTATATTAATATTGTGCATTCGATTGGTACCAGATTGTATTCATCTTTAAGGCTAGAAAAGCAATTTTCCCCAGGCCACAATTCAGATATATACCATGAAAAGACAAACATGACTTGTGTGAAATCTACGTAAACCTAAATTAATTCCAGTTTTTCCTTATCAACATTGGTGGAATCCCTAATCCCTAGTGTTGTGGTCCCATGTGTGATTTTAGTTGGCCATCATTTAAACAGTGTTTTAAAAGAAGGGTTTTTCTTAGTGATTTGTCTGAGACTGACAAGGGTAGAAACCAGTATTTTTTGAGCATGGGTGTTTTATGTCTCTTATCTCCTTTAATTCAAATGAAAATTCCACAAGGCCATTTTTATAGGCCCATGATTCCTTATCGAAAACTCTTGGAGGATTTCAGAAAGGTAACATAGTACATTGCCTCACTCACCAAGCAGAGTCTAGGACAATACTCTATAATGAGCCTCAGATGAATAAAATGAGTTTGCTTGATAATAGATGAGAAGGTATTTATTTATACACGGTGTGCAGTTTTCTGCACTCTTGAATCGTGGGTAAGTTACTGGGACCTGAGTTTTCTCCATCTTATGACAAGAAAACTGGCTTAGGAGAATCAAGTGAACTTGGCAGTGGTCACAGAGTTAGCAAGTGGTGGAGGCAGGATGAGACCAGATGGAGAAAGCCTGCTGTGCGGTGCGACCTCATGTGTGTGAATGATGCTCTGTCTAGCCTAGACCTACCGCCCCCGTGATACTGGAACCGCAGGCTGAATTCTACAAGGTAGGAGGCAGCACACGAAGTTGCCAGTTACAGTCATGATTTGTATTAGTACTAATGATTTGGATGTTCTCTTTATTTCTTTTTAAAGTGTTTTGGTGACTCACACAGATGCGGTAAAGATTTCAGATTTTGGCACATCTAAGGAACTCAGTGACAAAAGCACCAAGATGTCCTTCGCCGGTACAGTGGCGTGGATGGCACCAGAGGTCATACGCAACGAACCTGTCTCTGAGAAAGTCGATATATGGTGAGCAGTGCCATCTGTCCCGACAAGAAAGCCTTCCCCACTGCACCCTCCCCCTCCCCGAGTCCTCTCCTCCTCCGGCACTTCTACTTTCCCAAAATATTCTTTTTTTTTTTTTTTTTAAGATTTTATTTATTTATTTGTCAGAGAGAGAGAGAGAGATCACAAGTAGGCCGAGAGGCAGGCAGAGGCAGAGGGAGAAGCAGGTTCCCTGCTGAGCAAGGAGCCCGATGCGGGACTCGATCCCAGGACGCTGGGATCATGACCTGAGCTGAAGGCAGCCGCTTAACCAACCGAGCCACCCAGGCGTCCCTTCCCAAAATATTCTTTAGTGTTACTCACTGATGGTTGATTTCAGGCTCCTGTTGTCTGAATCCCTACTCAGTGTCATGATGAACGTGGTGAGAAGGATTGAGAGGGGAATTAGGGTGAACGTCTATTTAGTAAATCATTGGGAAGGCTTCACAGAATATGCTGAACTTTCTGGAAAATGGGAAGTTTACTTCAAATAAGCATTTAGCATAGAAATCTTTGGGAAATATATTCATAATTCTTAACTTCTTAAATACAGTGAACAAAGTTTACCTAGTTTTGGTGCCTCAGACCCTCAACATATCAGTGAGTACTTTGCTGGGATATGGTTATGTACTTTAGAGCTATTTGAAGTATATCATAGGGCTGTTTGCCCTTTTAGTAAACATCCCCAATGAGCTATGCTTATTTACTTTTTGGCCTTTTTAAAATCCTTATCATCTTTTCCTTTGAGATTATGAATCTTTACAATTAATAACATATTTCCCTGTGGTCACTTTTCTTCCATCCTTATAACTGGCTATTAATATAACTTTTAGGCTTAAGACCAAAATAATAGCATATGTTAAAATTACATGTAACACCAGAGTAAGATAAAGGAGAAATGTGGGATCGTTTGTAATTTGGGTAATTATCACCAACGTGTCCTCCTTTGGGATTATACCAATTATGTTCCCAACAGAAATGTGTTTTCTCAGTCTCACCACAAAATGTGCTCACTTTCTGGATTTTTGCCAACCATTTAGGTAACACATGGTGTCATAGGTACAGTTTTAATGTGTATTCCCCTTCTAATAATTATAAGTTAGGTTGTACTTTTTTTCATATTATCATAAACCATTTGTAATTTCTTATTGTGAAATATTCTGATCCTTTACTAAGCTCTCTGATCTTGATCCCTATCAATTTATCAGAGTATTTTGTATATTAAGGAGATTAGCCTTTTGTGTGTATGAATTATGGGTACTTTTCACATTTTGTTATTTTGTTTGTGGTGGAATTCCTCCTCTCTGCTGGATTTTTCTTTTTTTTAATGCAATTTAACTGATCAATCTCTCCGTTTGTGGCTTCTGGATTCCATAACTAGAAAGCTTTCACCACTCTAAGATTAGTAAAAAGAAAAAAAATTTCCCATGTGTTCTTTCAGGAGCTTATGGTTTCGTTTTTTCTTTTCACATTTGAATTTTTGATTCATTTGGAATGTATCTTGGTGTGAGATGAGCCATGGATTTAATTTTCCCCCCAGTTGCCTCAACAGCATGTACTGACTCGTCAGTGCTCCCACGCTGGTTTGGGATGCCACTTCCATCATATACTGAAGTCCTGTATGTATCTGGCCCATTTATGGATTTCTGTTCCCTTCCATTTGTCTGGCTGTCCACTCACACACCAAAGTTAATTACCAAAGCCTTAGGGTATGTCTTAATATCAAGCAGTGTTTGTTACCCCTCATTGAGTTTCTTTTCCAGCGTTTTTTCCTGGCTGTTTCTGTTATTCTTATGGAAGTCTTAGAATTTTGGCACTGGGGATATACTTGATTAAACCTGAATAAAGAACTAACATACAAACCAGTCTTTCTGCATTGTCTTTGGTGCCTGTTCCTGGTACTACTGTAGGTCTTTCGGAGTGGTGCTTTGGGAGCTGCTGACAGGAGAGATTCCTTACAAAGATGTCGACTCTTCAGCCATTATTTGGGGTGTTGGAAGCAATAGCCTGCACCTGCCGGTTCCTTCCACTTGCCCTGATGGATTCAAAATCCTTATGAAACAGACATGGTAAGAAATCTCTTTCTCCCAAGATTCTCTTTGACCTTCTTCCTCAAAACCACATTTAAAATTTCTCGGAAACCTCAGGGAAGTCTCCAGTATGGATTTAGACTGAATCACCTGGTTAAAGCCTGGCAGACTTGGAGTCATTGATAAATAAAGAACTTGGTATATCCTGAAACAAGTAGGTCTTAGTAAATGATGGCCACGATGACTTGACGAGTCCTCAGGGACTGTTCTTACCAAACAGGCCACTGATCCTGGAGATTTCCATTTATCATTACAGGTACCTCCTGGTTACATTTTCCTTTTGCTCTTCAGTACGTGCACACGGCCTGAGATAAAGCCATGCGTGGAGCCAAACATGTTTTCCATAAAGTAGAATAAAATCTCTGTGTTCCTGGACACACCCTCTGCAATGCACAAGCTGTCTTTTTTAACTTGTAGGCAGAGTAAACCTCGCAACCGGCCTTCTTTCCGGCAGACGCTCATGCATTTAGACATTGCCTCTGCAGACGTTCTTGCTACCCCCCAGGAAACCTACTTCAAGTCTCAGGTAAGTCTGAAAGCTCTCCTCCCGTGTACTGAGTGCATAGCCAGGGAGCACTTGATGAGAAAGAGGGGCTTAGAAGCATTCTGAGTCTCTTAACGATTCTAGGGCTCCGCTCCAGTCGTTGTGAAGCAATAGCTGTGAAATGTCACAAGTGGGGAATCTGGGAGTTTTTTGAACACTTGAGATACATCATTATCTCTGGGCACCTTGGTGGCTCAGTGCGTTAAAGCCTCTGCCTTCAGCTCAGGTCATGATCCCAGGGTCCTGGGATCCAGCCCCCGCATCGGGCTCTCTGCTCAGCAGGGAGCCTGCTTCCTCCTCTCTCTCTGCCTGCCTCTCTGCCTACTTGTGATCTCTGTCTGTGAAATAAATAAATAAAATCTATTAAAAAAAAAAAGATACATCATTATCTCATCTGAAAGGAAGATGTGTCTGAATGTGATCCTCCAAGTGGTGAAATTGTTGAAAAGAAAAAATGAATGCATTTGAACTAAAATCAGGCACCTGGCTGGCTCAGTTGGAAGAGCGTACAACTCTTGATCTTGGGATTGTGAGTCCGAGACCCATGTTCGGTGTAGAGATTACTTAAATTAAACAAACAAAGAAACGAATAAACAAACTTAAAAAAAAAAAAAAAAGGGAATTACTACCAACCTTTATGAAAGGATTGCTTCCCTTGAAGGAGAAAATAAAGTACAGAGGAGGGAAGTTAAGTACCGGAGAGAACCCAGGATAGAATTAGGCCCAGAGGGAACCTTTCCCCTGACTCTGTGTGTCACCTGTTAGCACCAGATCAAATGTAACTTAATGTATCTGTTAGCCTTACTGTCTTCTAGACCATTCCAGACCTACGCCAAACACACAGATTAAACTTCCTTAGAACCACTAACACTAGTGCTGTCTATTCAGATACCTATATGTATGGGGCACGAGGAAAGCAATCTGCCCAGTCTCTGTGTGAGTGTTCAGCAAAAGACTTGGGCCCTTCCGTGAAATGAAAGAGAATAACAGTGAGTACTTTCTAGGGAATCTCTCAAACTTTAGACTACGGTTACAATTACAGCCTTGCTTCCTTTACCATAAAAGTATACATACCACGGTTTGGAAAAGCAGTTTTTGGTGAGAGTACTAAAGTCACAAGCCATCGAGACAGTCAAACTGGATGTACTTGGAAAACTTCAAAATGGAAACAATTCTACATGAATGCTCCCAGGATGTCCCTTCTGAAGCCAGGGCCACCTCTTCCGAGTGCCCACCGTGTGCAAAGCACTGTGTCATGCCACGAAGCCCCCAGACCCAGTACCCTCACCTGCACAAACTGACTTTTACCAATATGTGCAACAGTGAGACTGAACTCAGGAAAGCTTCTTTTGGAGCAAGAATATGAAGGGGAGAGGAAGAGGAAGGAAAGGAAGGGGAAAACATTACACTGGATATCTTTTAAATATTAATTCTTCCACACATTTCTCCCAACATAAAATTTTACCTCTCCTTAAATAGCACCAAGTCTGCTAGGTGTGCTAGTTCCTAGGATTACTTCAGGTACTTACAAGCTGGTCTGTCTCTGGGTCTGAAATTCAGACTCTCTCTGGCTACTGATAAAATATTTAGGAACTAGCTACAGAAATACTGAGAAAAGCAACAGACTTGAGTCTAACCCTTGTCCTAGGATCTTGGGTCAGTCACTAAAATTCTCTAAACCTCAGTGTACTCATCTAAACCCTGGAGATGATCATCTCTTCTCATCCTTACGGGGTTTTGGCTAGGACCCAATGAGAAAATAAAAATGCAACTGTATTGGAAACGAAAGAACTACTCGAGTGTAAGACATCATTCGCTGCCCGCGAAGCTGCAGAAATGAAGCCTTCTTTGGGTTGGTACATTCTGGTGAACTCCTGAGACTGACAGGTGGCTGCTCGGGGACTCTGCTCCCCGGGGTTCTGACTCTCGATGCCACTGGGATGGGGATGGAGCTGACAGTTTAGCACCTGGTTTTACTCCTTCTGCAGTCTCAAGCCTGAGGCCTCCCCTCCCCCCAGCGCGAACAGAGCCCAGGCTGCATCAGGTACCCATCAGTGGTTGCTGGCCTCGGGTCGCTGCCCTTTCCACAAAACTGTCCGTCAGGAGCATGCCAGGAGCCCAGCTGACCGCTTCCCGAGAGTATTTGCTTCCCCTGTTTCTCAGCAGCAGCTTCAGTATCACAGATGAACATAGCAGCCGATTTCACTACAGCATTTGATTCTGCCGAAGCTGCTGCTTCTTTCCCAGACAGTAACTTATTTCTCCCAGGAGGCAACTACTGGTCTTTGTATTCAGTTGCATTTGCTATCAGTTTTTGTTTTGTTTTGTTTTGTTTTGTTTTGGTGAGCTCTGTGAGCCCCAGTGTGGGGCTTGAACTCACAACCCTGAGATCGACAGTCGCATGCTCTGCTGACTGAGCCAGCCCCAGCACTGGATATCAGTTGTTAGAAAACATTTTGCTGGGGTCCCAGATCCCCACAGCTGGGTGGGCCATGGCCTCTGCCTCTAAGCTCTCCCCCCCACACTCTGCCTTTGCACCATCTGGTTCCCTTTTGAGTACCACCACGAGCACCCAGAAATTCAGAGGCTGCGAATTGCAGACACACGAAGTTCATTATAGAGACAGACTGTGCTTCTTAAGAGTAATCTCGTCATGGCATCCCCGGCTGGCTCCCACGGAAGGGCATACAGCTCTTGATCTCGGGGTCATGAGTTAGAGCCCCATGTGGAGAGATTACTTCAGTAAATATTTAAAACTTAAGAAAGAAAGAAAAAAAAGAACAATTTCATCACGAGCAAGTAGGTCCTTAGGCAGAGGCTGGCACACACCAGGGAAGGGAGTCAAGAGGACTGTTGTGCCAGTCAAGGTTGGACTTGAGGACCTCTTAAGTCTTTTCTGACTCAGAATCTCTAATTTCCTGCTCCTTAGCCCCCCAACATCCTGCTTCTCTATCCAGCTAGCCTGGAACTGGCTGCACTTCTTTTTTTCCTTTTTAAAAATTGTGGTAATACAAATGGTGCAAAATTTGCCGTTTTAACCATTTTGAAGTGTACAGTTCACTGGCATTAATTAAATTCACAACATTTCACCACTGTTTCCCAAAGTTTTCATCACCCTCTTAAGCAGTCATTTCCCATTTCCTCTTCCCCTTGACCCCTGGTAATCTCTGTTACTTTTTGTCTCTGTGAATGTACCTGTTCAGTCTACTGATTGAATAAGTGGAAGGCTGGAAAAGACAAAAACCTTTTTAGATGGGGATGGCCTTTCCCAGGCCTTACCTAGGACATAAAAAGACTCCCATTAATGGTAATAACCCAAGTTTCACTGGATTTTTCCCTTACCTGCCAATCTTGTGAAGCAGCCTGTACTCCCTCCTTTCACCCCCTCACATGCATTTGTGGGGGGGGTCCCCAGTGAAGAGTGGGGATCTCAGTAACCTCCTAGTAACTTCTGCTCTGCTTTCCACTGACTGGCTAGACACAGCAGTCTCCTACTAATGTCTTCTAGGTATTACTTTGTGGGTTAGCTCTGTTTTCCGCTACAACACCATAAGCCCAGCTGGCATCCATTGGATGCTGCCATATCCCAAGGCACTGCCCTCACCCATCAGGAGCTGCCATTTCCTCCTATAACTATAGCTCTGGACTTCTCGATTCCAAAGCTGCACATTGTTCTATCTACCCAATGAACTCCTTTCTCTGTTGAGTTACACTTGGTTAAAGGTAACAGAGCCCTGCTGGTTATAGCCCAGTGTTTTATAGATATTTTAATGAAACACTGGGAAGTGCTCCTCCATTCCTATGATGGTGGCTTTGTCATAGGTCAGGGTCATGAAAGATTCCTCCTTCTCTCATGCCCCATTTTCTCTCAGAGGTACCTCAGTCTCTGTGCAAATTAGCTTCCGGCCTACCCACCTCCCATTTCTCCAGCTGTGCCCAGACATGTCTGAACTGAAGATTAAGTGCAAATTGGAACTCCTATTATGTAAAGATTCTAAGCATATGGGATGGAACTCCAAACTTAGCATCTACCAGTAACACCATAGCTTTGGGGAAAAGATATTATAATCAGGACCTGGGGTTTTCCCACACATCCTGTTCCCTCTTCATGATTGGGGGTGGGAAGGGAGGACTTCTTTTTGGAAATCTACTTTTTTAATAGGTTTCAGTCTTCGAAAGTTTCTCTTTAAATTTCCATTCCCATCAGGAGGTTTATTTCCTCAAGGTTTTCAAGAATTAAAAAAAAAAAAAGAAAAAAATCTGTTCATCTGCTTCCTGACCACCAGAGGGAGTTACTCCTTTTCCTGGTCCCTTCTTTAGGTACCTGTACAGGTGTCTTCTGATCCGTTTTTGCATGAAAGAGGACTTCAAGGCCCAAACCTGGCCCTCTCTCTTACCTTTTTTGGTCTAATAACTCCTGATTTTGTCAATCTTAGGCTTCTCAAAGCTCACGTATTCTTCCTTCAGACTTTGATCTGATGATGACAAGAACGGCATTACTGGAGGCTCAGCCAAACTTTGATTTATTGCTTAAGACTGTCAGACTGTTACCAAAGAGTGGGCACTGCATTCTGGGTCTGAGTTTCTGATGACCTTCACTTTCTGATGACCTTTACTTTCTGATGACCTTCACTTGCTGATGACGTTGTTTGGCAGGTTTGGTCCCAAAAGTCAACTGACTGACAGAAATCTTTCTCCAATGGTCAGTCAGGATATATATATATATATATCCTGACTATATATATATACATACACACACACACACACACACATATATATATATATATGAAGATCTAGCATATTATAAGCAGATAATCAGGATGATCACTCTCTAAATAATTACAGTATGATTTCCTTTATTTTTTTTAATTTTATTTATTTATTTTGACAGAGAGAGATGACAGGTAGGCAGAGAGGCAGGCAGAGAGAGAAGAGGAAGCAGGCTCCCCACTAAGCAGAGAGCCCGATGTGGGGCCTGATCCCAGGACCCTGAGACCATGACCTGAGCTGAAGGCAGAGGCTTTTAACCCACTGAGCCACCCAGGCGTCCCATGATTTCCTTTATAAAAGTAAATGAGAGGGGCGCCTGGGTGGCTCAGTCGGTTAGGCATCTGCCTTTGGCTCAGGTCATGGTCCCAAAGTCCTGGGATCAAGTGTCGGGCTCCCTGCTCAGTGGGGAGTCTGCTTCTCCCTCTGCCTTTGCCTGCCATTCCCCCTGCTTGTGCGTGCATGCACTCTCTCTCTCTCTCCCTGTCAAATAAACTCTTCAAAAAAAAAAAAAAAGTAAATGAGAAACAGCAAATTTGGGGAGAAACCTTCTATAATTTCAAAATTACTTACACATAACTTCTTCCATGATCTAGAGAAATAATTTTAAACATGAATCTTGAGGTAATAGAATAGCTCCAGAGGAAGAATATATAGAGGCATTTAGTTATACATCTAGCCTTCACTGGAAATCAATTTCATTAGTTTCTTGGAATTGTAGTTTATATGTAATTTGAGGAAACATCTCCCTTAGCTGTTTTCTAGAAACTACCTGTAGACTATATTCTAGTAGACGTCTTTCGACTGCCTAAAATTTGGATGACATTGGCCTGGAATTTCGTGCCTTATGGAAATCCCAGTGTCCTAATACATCTGTGAATTCCTGGGAGACTATAATTTCATGGTCACTCTCGCTTTGCCTTCCTAAAATTTTTGGGTTCCACCTCCTCCATCTTCTGGTTGTTCCTTTATCTTGTCATTGACCCAGACATGAAGTTCAGCACTGTCCTTGATGTCTAAAAAAAAAAAAAAAAAAACTCATCCAAAATCAAGGTGAATGTCAGAGACTTTACTAAAGGTTTCAGAAATTGGAAGAGGCTTACATTTTTTTTTAAAGATTTTATTTATTTATTTGTTAGAGAGAGAGAGAGCGCGCGCATGAGCACAGGCAGACAGAGTGGTAGGCAGAGGCAGAGGGAGAAGCAGGCTCCCCGCCGAGCAAGGAGCCCGATGTGGGACTCGATCCCAGGACGCTGGGATCATGACCTGAGCCGAAGGCAGCTGCTTAACCCACTGAGCCACCCAGGCGTCCCGGAAGAGGCTTACATTTTGAATAACTGAAGTTACATATTAGATATTCATCCCCATTCTAAAATTTTGTCAAACCACTACATTATTTAGCCATCCTTTTTTTCCTCCTCTTCTCTTTTCCTGTTCTTTCCCTCACTCCCCAATTCCTATAGAATTCCCTATATTTTTATTCTCAAGTCCTGCTGTGCCCCTTGTGTCATGTGCTCCAGATATTTTTTTCAAGATATTTTCCTTTTTTTTTTTTTTTTTTTAAGATTTTACTTATTCATGAGACACACACAGAGAGAGGCAGGCAGAGGGAGAAGCGGGGAGCCCAGTTAGGGCTCAATCCCAGGACCCCAGGATCATGACCTGAGTCAAAGGCAGACACTTAACGGAATGAGCCACCCAGGTGCCCCAAGATATTTTCATAACAGAGTTACCTAAGAGAAATTCCAGTGCCAGTTGTAAACACGATCATGTTCTCACTGGCACGTACTTACAGCAGATGGCTAACTGAGCTCCTCTTTTTGGTCGGGCTATCTCAGCCACCATCTTCACTTGAAACTGAGCTCTCTTGTTCCAGAGGTGATGGCCAGTATACCAGCTGTGATATTTCTGGTGGCCAGTATGGCAAGGAAATGGGAAAAAGACGGCATCCCGTGTTGGACTAAATACAGAAAATGAGGTCATGGTGTGGGGGTGGGGGGTGCCGAAGCATGAGCTAGTCTCCTATCAACTCATATATTTATTGAACATTTGTTCTGTGAGGCTCTTCAGTAAAAGCAAGTGGGGGAATACCATCCTGCCCGTGATTCTCTGGCTCTACCAGGGACGGAAACTCCTAGAGTCCTAACAAAGTCTCATTTGTCCTCACTCAGGCTGAATGGAGAGAAGAGGTGAAAAAACACTTTGAAAAGATCAAAAGTGAGGGAACTTGTATACACCGATTAGATGAAGAGCTGATTCGGCGGCGCAGAGAGGAGCTCAGGTGGGCTGCTCCCTCCTTCTCCACCTCGTCCCATCCCCACATCTGCAGATCCTGGCAGGAACTCGCTTTGTGAATCACCGTTTCACCTTCTACACACCTTTCATCTCTGCTACTTACTGTTAATTCTCTTTAAAAGTTGCCCCCAGAGTTGACCCTCCCCCCTTTACCCTGCTGTCCCGTCCCCTCCCTGCAGCCTTGTTATCCTTCTTTATTATAGCTCTGCAGCCGGTGCTCCTGGAGCCAGGCTCTTTCTTCTTCGGTGCCTGTCCTAGGTGACATGAAGGGCAACACTTTATAAGAGGAAGTTCCTGGTCTCAAGATGCTTATGACTGATAAAGGGGTACAAAATGTAGCCATAGATAACCACCCGTATTAGGGCAGGATCTGTGCCCTAATAAGTACGGGGTCAGGGGTCAGCCTTATTGGCATATTTCCATGAACATGACTATATTATACTGTATTCTTATTAAGGTATTGTCAGTGGCACACAAAGGCTACACATTATACACAAATCATGGTCCGATTTTTATCCGTGCCCCCCACCCCAGCTATTCAGCATGGCTGGATATGGCCCCTAAGGATAAACCAAGCGAAAGCTTGAATTTTCCATCTCCCACTCCATCTTGCCCAAGTCGTTACCTCAGACACGGGACCCTTGAATTCAGATGGCCCTCAGACAAACGCTTTTGAGATAAACCATCCTGGTTCTTATTTCATTATAGCTGTTCTTTGTCATCCCCCTCACCCCCCGGTAGTCAGCTTTGCTGATCCTCTCTTTTCTTTGATAGGCATGCTCTGGATATTCGGGAACACTATGAGAGAAAACTTGAGCGGGCTAATAATTTATACATGGAACTTAGTGCCATCATGCTGCAGCTAGAAATGCGGGAGAAGGAGCTCATTAAGTATGTATCCAGACATCTGTCTGTCCTTCCCAAGTCGGGTCTATCAGTCAGCCCAAACGCACCGTTCTGCCATATTGCTGCTCCTCAAAACTAAAATGGCAGATGCTTGAGTCATTCACCCAGCATTCCTTAAGGGATGTGCTATACCCAGGTCCCTTCCCCCTGTGAAGTTTCAGTTGAGGGGAGTTGCTGCAGAGCTTGTTACAGAGGAATGTGCCCTTGACCGGCATTTGCAACTTCACCCCGCTGAATGGCTCCGAGAAGGGGTCCTCATCTGGAGAAAAGCTTGGTGTGGATGAGGGGGAGCCTTCTGCCCGATGGAGAAATAAGATGGCTGATGAAAGTGGTTTAAGGGATTCTTGACAAATGACAGGAGACCCCGGTCAGTGGTCCTGACCAAAACCATAACTGAAAATAAGTAGGTCTTCTACCATCGCCTTGTGTCTCTCGTGAGGTACGTTGGGGGAGGGAAGGTCAGCCCCTGAGCGCATCAGAGAGTGGAAGAGCACAGCGAAGTCCAGATTAGTTGAATTGAGCATCTTTTTTTTTTTCCTTTTTAACCTGAATAATAGTGTTGTTATTCAGATAGTGTATTTCTGCTAAGGGTGCCCAGAATCTGTGAGAGGAATTAGCCTGTGGAAACATCCTGCCCATCTTTCTTGTCTGCAGTGACTGAGCTGTGGCTTTTCCTTTCGTCTGTAGGCGTGAGCAAGCAGTGGAAAAGAAGTATCCTGGAACGTACAAACGACACCCCGTCCGTCCAATAATCCACCCCAATGCCATGGAGAAGCTCATGAAGAGGAAGGGCACGCCTCATAAATCAGGGATGCAGACCAAACGGTGAGACAGCTGTGCCAACCTGACATTCAGAGAAAGGGGAAAATATCCCCCCAAAAATACATGATCCCATGACGGTGTGTCTTCTCTGTAGCTCACTGTGGGCACACTTGCTCCAGAAAAAACAGAGTAGGAAAGTGAGAGGATGTGTCATGAACTCTAGGAATCTAGTTTTTACTCTCTGAGACATAGATACTTCTTGTCTCAGCATGGCATAGGGAAAGAGAAGTAAATGGAGGGCCAGGCCGACATGGATTCCAATCCCAGCTCTGCCCATTGGTATAAGCCATATGACGTAGACCATGTCATTTGTCCTCTTTCAGCCATGGGCAAAATGGTATAATGATCACATGTGAGATTTCTTTTTCTTTTTCTTTTTTTGACCCCTCCTGCACAGAATTGGGTTAATCATAATTCTTGTTGTAGGCAACATTGGTTCATGTGGGTCCCACTTTTACATATTCATTTAGTTAGTTCTTTTTAATAATGTAATAAGTGCCTGTAAATCCATTACCAGAAACAAAAGCAGGGGCTTTGATAATGACCTGTACCTCACCATGGAGGGCCCCTCATTCTATTCCTGCATGGGCTTTCGGTGAAGTTTAAATAAGAGAAATGTGAAATCACCTTACAAATCACAGGTGCTAAAAAATGAGTTTTTGAATAGTTAAAAAAATAAAAGATTGCCCTTTCCTCTAATTACAATGCATTTTCCTTATACTAGTTTAGTCTTAGAATGCTCTCCCAGTCAGTTTTTATTATCAGGCTCTACTAGATGCCCATTGCTCCCAAATAATGGAGAGTGGACTCTATTCTAGCCAAGTTAATGAAAAGGAAAGAAATGTCCCTAAAACCTGGGTATAGACCAAACGGTCTACTGCAGAATGCGGTGAGAATAAAGATAATGACAAAATGCAAACCAAGAATGTATTTTAAGTCTTTCAGAATGGCAGTTATTCTGAATAAGGCCATTCTACCCTAGTATGACTAATACAACGCTAAAACTACTGAAGAGTAGTTACATGGATTAATTCCAGTTTTTCTTTTACTTACCACCTGTGATCACCTTCTCATCAAGTTCTGAGAAATTGCAGGTGGCACCTGGCAAAACCCTCTGAGGATCCCAACACCTCTTTCTTTTAATGTCTTAATTGGAGACAGAGTTCACCTGCTGGCTCCTCCCTGCATTCTGCTACAGTTAAAACTAAGAGCTTTGGAGAAGAAAATAGTACTGTTTCATTCTTCAAAATGTGAGCGCATGTTTACTTTTAGTGTTGGCTGTGAGGAATATGTTTGGACGTTTGCCACCACCAGCAGATGCTTAGTGGACTGAGCACCCAGGAAGACAACCTGGAATGGGTCTTTGAGCTGCAAAGAGTTCTGCTCTTGGTTGATTGGCCCCTGGAGGATGTCAGTTTCCCATTGTTCGGACAGTCCAATGATTAAGTCAGAAGTCCAGTGACCTGGGAGGAGATCAGAGAGGAAAAACCATCCACCATCCTTTGGCCTAGGTATCAATGTGGGTTCAGTTGGGGACTAAAAAGAAGAGAATCAGAGTTCAGTTACGGATCCAGCAAGCCTGTTACAAGTGAGTACAATCCAATCCAGTGGTCTAAATACCTCATAATAAGGAGAGGCTCGGGATGGGGCTAAGAACTCTGCCTTAATGTCGGAAGACTTGGGTTCAAGTTGGGAGTTCTGCCACGGACTCCCTTTGGGATGGACACAAGCCAGCTAACCTCTCGGATCCCTCAGTACCCTTACCTGTAAAATGAATGTTGGAAAAATGAATAGTCGGAAACAAGTGTTTTATATATTGTAAAGTGCTTTGTCAACTGTGAAGTGCTGTGTCACTGTTACTCTGTGATTTTTGCACGGCCAGCTTCAATAAAAGCAGCCTTCGTCTGACTTAGACACTTTCACCTCAGCTCTCTTCCAGATCCTCCTATAGCCAGTCACTGGATAGGTAGGTGCCCCTAACTGGGCCTCGGAGGGCTCCCTTGCCTCAATAAAAGCCCCAGGACCTCCTCAGTCCACGTACTTTTTGTGGCAAAAGGTGGCCAGCTGACCACAGAACCATGAACCTGAGACAGGAAGGTGCTCACAGCAGCACAAGACTGTGCCCATCCTATCATATACCAACGTTACCTGGAACTTCCATGCTAAGAGGAGCCTCTAACTGTTCTCTTGAAAAGGAAAAAAAAAAAAGCACTACACCCTGGTGTCTCCTACACCCTGATGCCCGTTCATTTTCTACAAGCCCTAGCTGTTCAAATGTGGTCCTCAGTTCAGTGTCATGAGAGAGTGTGCTAGAAGTGCAGACTGTTGGGCCCCACCCCAGACCTGACCGACTCAGCCATTTAAGTAAGGTGATTTGTAGGACAGTTTAAATTTGTTATCTGAATCTCCAGGAAGCCAGCTTGGGGATTAGGAAAGACTTCTTGTCTGGATTCTGCCAGTGATGCACTGTGAGACCATGAGCCACTTTGGGTTTCGGTTTCCTCATCACATAAGGTAGAGGTGGGACTGTATCTGTGGTTTTTAAGCAAGGTCTGGGACACCCTAGGGCTTGCACAGATGTCAGCGATTACTGAGGAAGTAGAGAGGAAGAGGAGGGGGAGCCCATCGGGGAGGGGCTTTGTTCCCTTCCCACAAATGTCCCATTGTATCTGGGGTGGAAGAGGGTAGTTTGCAATGTAATTGACATATAACATTATATTAGTTTCGAGTGTACAACACAATTCAATATACATATATATTATGAAATAATTGCCACGCTAAGTCTAGTTAACATCCATTCATCACCACAAATAGCTATATTTTTTTCTTCTTGTGATAAGAACTTTCAAGATCTCTTAGAGACTTTCAGATATACAATACAGTACAACTAACTCAAAGCATGCGGGTTTGAACTGCATAGGTCCACTTGTATGTGAATCTTTTGCAGTGCAGTACTGTAAGTGTATTTTCTCTTATGATTTTCTTTTTTTTTTTTTTTTACTTGTTAGAATCTAAATTTTAATTTTAACTGTTTAAAACATTTATTCAGTGGGTAACTTATAAAATCTCTTATGATTTTCTTAACATTTTCTTTTCTCTAGCTTACTTTAAGAATATAGTCTGTAATACATATCACATACAAAATATGTATTAATCAACTGTTTATGTTATCAGTAAGGTAGCTGGTCAATGGTAGGCTATTTTTAAGCTTTTTTGGAGTCAAAAGTTATACCTGGATTTTTGACTGTGCACATTATCCAAGGGTCAGTTGTATCATTACCTATAGCCTCCATGCTGTACATTACATCCCAGGATTTATGTGGTTTATAACTGGAAGTTTGTACCTTTTGACCCTCTTCCTCCATTTTACCCATTCCCCTATCCCCCACCTCTGGCAACCACTAGTCTGTTCTGTTACTATATCTATTTTATATACCGAGTTTCTCGAGAAAAGGATTCTGTTGTTAAAATAAAGTTTGGGTCCTTCAGCACTGTAATCTGATGATTTGTGTCTAGTCCCTAAGAAGGAGGGAAGTAATGGTGCTCTCTGGTATCCTCAAGTCTCTGCCCATCAGTCCATCAGTTCAGAAACCATTTATTGTTTACCTGTGCACCATGAAATCAGTGCATGTGACATGTACCTTCAAGCCCTGGCTTGCTCTTGCACACAAGCTGCATGACCAGCCCAGTGAGCACTCGACAACAGACTAGGACAGGAGCCAGCACCATGCCAGGCCGCTCCTCGCAAGCCCTTCTCTTGCTGGCTCTGTCCAACCTCCTAGGCTCTGTACTATTTCCCCTTCCTCAATCCCCACCCCCTATGCCCCCTTCCTTAAACATGTTTGAATACTGAGAGTGAGCAAGGCTCCCTGCTAGTGTCCTTCCCATACATAGATGGATGGACATAGTCCCAGACCTCTGGGAGACCATGTCTTGACCAAAGTCCCTGAATTTAGCCTCCCACCTCATTAACCTGAGGTTTCCTTCTCTTGTGCCAGACCTCTGTGATTTGTGATCTGCTGCGGGATCTATCTAGATCCATCATCAGACAGATTTCTGATGGTGGGCAAACCCTTGCCTCTGCCTTGGCATGTTGGCACCAGGCTGATAGCCGAGGTTATGCGAAAGAGATCAAGAAACCTGTAGGGTAGAATTAGAACTTAAAGGGGATTGGGTACCTCAGCTAGGGAGGCACAGAATAAAATCCAGAAGGAATGAAGGAGATCCTCTATAGGTGGACATCGAGGTTGTTTCTAATTTTCTGCTATTTTAAACTATAGAATATAACACAGCGTCTTCAAACATATATCTGCATGCACATCTGTTACCTCCGTTGGATAAATCCCTGAACATGTGACTGCTGTTTCAAAGGGTGTGTGTACTTTCAGGTCTGCATTGCATTTCCCCAAACTTAAATGTGTTTCCAGATGTTGACAACGAAATCTTGTCTTTCCTCCCAGGCCAGATCTGTTGAGATCTGAAGGTATCCCCAGTACGGAGGTGGCTCCCGCTGCATCCCCTTTGTCTGGAAGTCCCAAAACGTCCACCTCGAGCAGCAAGAGCCGCTATCGGAGCAAGCCACGCCACCGCCGAGGGAACAGCAGAGGCAGCCACAGTGATTTCACAGGGATATTGAAAAACCAGCCAGCCCAGGACAGTTCACCCCATCCCACTGACCTACACCACGCTCAGTCCCAGTACCCTTCTCCCCATCACCACCATCCTCTGCAGCAGCAGTACCAGCAAGCCCCCCCTGCCGTGTCCCAGAGTCACCATCCCAGATTCAGTGTGCACGGACAGGACATCGCCACCTGCGCCAACAACCTGAGGTATTTTGGCCCAGCAGCGGCCCTGCGGAGCCCACTCAGCAACCATGCTCAGAGACAGATGCCCGGTTCCAGCCCCGACCTCATCTCCACGGCCATGGCGGCGGACTGCTGGAGAAGCTCTGAGCCTGATGCGGGCCCAGCTGGGCCCTGGGGCTGTTGTCAGGCTGACCCTTACGACCCCTGCCTCCAGTGCAGGCCAGAACAGTGTGGGTCCTTGGACATACCCTCTGCTGAGCCAGTGGGGAGGGGCCCCGACCTTTTCAAGTCACCAGCACACAATCCCCTCTTGGAAGATGCCCAAGGTTCCGAGAAAATGGGAGAAAGGGAATTCAAAGGCTGCAGGTCTGCGTCATCCCTTGGCATCCCTCACCACGTCACCCCCCCAGTGCTACCTCGAAACACAAGGCCCCTGCAAAAGGTAAGCTGTAATGACAGCCCGTCATGTTGTACACATTAGAAAGCCTACATCATGTGTCCGTTTTGTAAAAGGAAGAGATGACAGAAGCATAAACAGAGGTTTCTTTGACTTTAAATGCTCTCTCACCACACTGCTTAAGTGATGGACTAGAGACTGTGCTTTGGCAACTACGGAACCAGAGGACTGATTCAAATGTATCTAATTTATAAATAGATAAATAACCATATACTAGGGATATATAATCAAAACTAAAACTATCCTAGTCTAGTCCTGATGGATGTTGCAAGAAGGAAGGATCCCGTTATAGAACAAGTTTGAGAAACAGTATTCTCTCTCTCCTCTTGGAGATTCCTAATGAAAATCTACAAATCCTAGGCTTTAAAAAATCATACGATTCTTTGTTTCATCCAGCGTTTCCCTCACCTATTTGGCCATAATGGCTTTGAAAATAGTATCTATTAATATCCCATGGAACTAGCTTTCTTCACAATATATTTTGGAAGGGTGCCTGGCTGGCTCTGTCGGTAGAGCGTATGACTCTCAAGCTTGGGGTCATGAGTTCAAGCCCCATGTTGGGTGTGGAGCCTCAAGAAAAATAAAATAAAATATTTTAAAAAACCAATATATCTTGGAAAACCCTACCTTTATTAGTAACCATCATGACCCAGTGAGGCCTCCATCACTGAAACCTGTTCCTCCTCTTCTTCTCACCCACTGGCTGCCTAGGTTTTATTAGCTTGGAGGCAGTGTACCATAGTGGTTAAGAGCATGAACGTGGGAGCCAGAGAGATCTCAGTTCGAAGCAGAGCTCTTCCATTTAGAACTCTATTGGTTCTGAGAACCAATAGTTCACATTGGGGTCCTTATCTATAAATGGGGAGCAGAGTGGGCCCTGCCTCATTGGTTGATGTGAAGATTAAGTGAGTTAATACATATAAAGCACTTAGAACAGGACCTGGAACATAACAATCTTCCAAAAATGTTAGCTCATCTTGCTAATGAGTTAAAAATAAGATTATATATGAAAAGTGTTTAGCACAGTGCAAACACCCACTCAGTTCTCAGCATTGCCTCATCTCGTCAGCATTCATCAGGAGTGCAGTTGACGGAATAAAAGGGTCTAAAATGTAAATGAGTATGTTTCAGTTAACTAGACATTTAAAAGAAGTTGACATACCTGTCAGAATGGCTAGAATCAAAAAGACAAGAAATAACAGGTTGGAGAAGATGTGGAGAAAAGGGAACTCATGTGCACTGTTGGTGGGAATGCAAACTGGCGCAGCCATTGTGGAAAATAGTATGGAGGTTTTGCAAAAAATTAAAAATAGAAATACCATGTGATCCGGTAATTTCACTTCTGGGTATTTGCCCAAAGAAAACAAAAGAACTAATTAGAAAAGATACATGTACTCCTGTGTTTATTACAGTATCGTTTACAATGGCCAAGATATGGAAATAACCTGAGTATCCATCAATGGATGAATGAATAAAGAAGATGTGGGGTGTGTGTGTGTGTGTGTGTGTGTGTGTGTGTGTGTGTGTACATACGTACGTACATACATACATATACACAATGGGATATACTCAGCCATAAAAAAAAAGAATGAAATCTTGCCATTCATGACAACATGGATGGACCTATATGGTATTATGCTAAGCGAAATAAGTCAGACAGAAAAAGACAGATACTATATCAATCACTTACATGTGAAATCTAAAAAATAAAACAAAGGAACAAACAGAAAAACCCAGAAATAGGTTCAAAAATATGGAGAACAAATTAGTGGTTGCCAAAGGAGAGGGGGGTGGGGATAATGGGTGAAATAGGTAAAGGAGATTAAGAGGTTCCACCTCCCAGTTACAAAATAACTCACAAGGGGTGAAGAGTTAAGCATAGAGAATATAGTCAATAACGTAATAACTTTGTAAGGTGACAGATGATAACTATTTATTTTGGCAAGCAGAGCATAATATATAGGATTTTTGAATCTCTACACTACACATCTGAAACTAATACAATACTGTACCTCAGTTATACTTAAGTTTAAACAGAAGTTGAGGCTCAGAGCTACTGTCTCAGAACTGTATTTCTTCCCTCCATGCAGTGCTGCTGCCGACAAAGCCTTCCCAGAGATTAAATTGTGTTTGGGCAGTAAATTTGGGTTATTCTGCTCCCCCACCGCTCTATGGCCAGGAACGTGTATTTTTTGGGTAACAACTTTGAGATATAACTCACGTACCATAAAGTTCTCCCATTAAATGTACTGCCTCGTTCATTTATTCACAGTTAGGCAATCATCACCAATTTTAGAATATTTTCATCATCCCAAAAAGAAACCCTGTACCCTTTGGGAGCACTCCAGTCCACTCCCAAATAACACGTACCTTTGAACCATTCTGATGCCATTTTGATGAATTCTGTGGGCCAGCGGGGCCAGGGAGTGCACTCCCTCTACATTCGGCCTCATTGGAACAGTACTCCCACAGGGCAGTTCTGCTTCTTTTGACCAAGATCCACTTCCATGGTGCTTCGGGTAAATGTCATCTTGGCAGTATAACCCCGTGCCTGTCCTCTCTACTCAAAAGAGCATATCAGAATACAAATGGATAAGAATGATGGTATGTTAAAACTGACTTTAAAAATAAATTATCCTCAACCTTTGGTACTGTTACTTGGGCCGGGTTACCCACCTCACAATGGGTGGGAGTAATCCAGTGTGTCATGATTCTGTGGTAAGGATGGTTTATTTTAAGTGTGGCTGTTTGTTTTTTTTTTTAAGATGTGGAATTTATTAACATAATGTATTATTTGCCCCAGGGGTACAGATCTGTGAATCATCAGGCTTACACACTTCACAGCACTCACCATAGCACATACCCTTCCCAATGTCCATAACCCAACCACCTTCTCCCTCCCCCCTCCCCCCAGCAACCCTCAGTTTGTTTCATGAGATTAAGAGTCTCTTATGGTTTGTCTCCCTCCCGATCCCATCTTGTTTCGTTTTTTCCTTCCCACCCCCAAGACCCCCCGCCCTGCCTCTCAAATTCCTCATATCAGCGAGATCATATGATAATTGTCTTTCTCTGATTGACTTATTTTGCTCCAGTTCCATCCACGTCATCACAAATTTCTTTTGTTGGCTGCATAGTATTCCATTGTGTGTGCCCACATTCATGTGCCCCTTCAGATCACTACATTTGTATCTTTAGGGCAAATACCCAGTAGTGCCATTGCTGGGCCATAGGGTAGCTCTATTTTCAACTTTTTGAGGAAACTCCATGCTGTTTTCCAGAGTGGCTGCACCAGCTTGCATTCCCACCAACAGTGTAGGAGGGTTCCCCTTTCCCTGCATCCTCGCCAGCATCTGCCATTTCCTGACTTGTTAATTTTAGCCATTCTGACTGGTGTGAGGTGGTATCTCACTGTGGTTTTGATTTGTATTTCCCTGATGCCGAGTGGTATGGAGCTAAGTGTGGCTTTTCTTATGTTCTCAAAGAGAGATGGTCTCTTCCTTTTGAAGGAAGATCAAATTCTCAGACAAGACACTTACATAGCCTTTCTAGATCAACCACAGAGCCCTGGCAATCACAAGGCCTCAGATGTCCCAACCAGAGCTCCCTTATCCTTACCAACAAGCTGACTCCATAAGGCACTGTGTACCTGTTTTGTATTCATGGTGGAAGGAGAAACACAAGATGTGGTTTGACACTCAAATAATGTCTGCCTTGGTAGTGCAAATGAGCATAGTAACTATAATATTAGTGAAAAAGTGATTGGTACATAGAAGGGAAAAGGTAGTTGGGGACTCCACTTCTTGGTGGAGTCCCTAGGTCAGGGCCTGGACCATGAATGACAATGATTACAAGAGACTGCCCCCAAAATCCAAGACCTTCTCTCTAGTTTCCCCTCCCCATCACTCACCTTGGATAATCTCATGGAGTCCTTACCTACTAGAGGGCAAAATTCCCATTTACTCAGTTCTGTGTGTCTTCTAGCATCTAATACAGACCCTGTCCTCAGGGACACCGAGGAAAGGTTGCTGAATGAATGAGTGAAAAAATATATGTTTATTTTTTTAAAAGATTTTATTTATTTATTTGAGAGAGAAAGCACGAGCAGGGGGAGGGGCAGAGGGAGAGGGAGAGAGAATCTCAAGCAGACTCCCTGCTGAGCAGGGAGCCCAATGCGGGGCTCAATCCCAGGATCCTGGGATCATGACATGAGCCAAAGGCAGGTGCTTAACCAACTGAGCTACCCAGGCGCCCCTGAAAATACATATGTTTAAAGATGACACCTAGCAAACTGCTATTTAGTGCCTTTTTGATTATAAACATTTTACACCAAATGTGTGTGTGTGTGTGTGTGTGTGTATGTGTAAGAGAGAGAGAGAAAGAGAGACACAGATTAAGATAAAATTCTTTCTCCTTGTTCTCCTCAGAGTGGAGATGACTCCTCAGAAGAGGAAGAAGGGGAAGTAGATAGTGAAGTTGAATTTCCACGAAGACAGAGGTAAACCCAACAAACACATGTCCTGCTTTCAGTGTAATGGGGAAAATCCCGAGTCTGCCATACCTCCTGTTCAGGCAGGTCACTTTTAAACAACTCCCCTGTAGGGAGATTCGAACTCATCATCCCTGTTTTCCCATTGTGACGTTTTGGCCACTTGGTTTGCATAGCAGATCCTAGTTCATTAGAATTCATTTCTTAGGAACTTCAAGATAAGGAGCATAAATAGGGATTCAAGGTTACAGTTGAGAATGGAGATGAGAGATGACCATCCTGTTTTGTGGATAATTTGATGGGTTTTTGGTGTACCTCCCTATATTAGTCTCTCTGGCTACTATAGCAAAATACCACAGGCTGGATGGCTTCAATAATGGAAATTTATCTTTCACGGTTGAGACTGGGAAGTCCAAGACAGGGGTCCTGGTGAGGACTCTCTTCCCATCTTGCAGACAGCAACCTTCTTGCTGTGTCCTTATAGGGCTGGTTGCGGGGAGAGGGGTAGTGTGGAAAAGCGGGGGGTACAGAAGTGGGGGGAGAGATCTTCCCCTTTTAAGGTCACAGTCCCGTGGGATTATGGCCCCACCCTTTTTATCTCATTTGACCTTATTTACCTCCTAAGAGTTCATGTCCAGATTCGGTCATACTAGGGATAGGGCTTCAACATATGAATTGGGCTTGGGGGTGGACACACTTCAGTTCATAGCACTCTCCATGGCTTTGGATATTATGCCTTAAATTAAGTGTAATTAATTAAATTGAGTCATCACTCAGCCCAGCCTTAAAAATCGCTTCCTGCCTAGCCAGGAAGAATAATTTTGCTGGTAGGATTAAATTGAAGAAGGACCCTCCCCCTACTTCAGGAAGAAGAGCTGTCTTTTGTAGAAGTAGGGAAGCTCGTTTTCCTCCAAGAAAGCCTCTTCTGCAAGTACATGTTCTGTTCTTGAAGCATAGGACTCTAAGAACCGCCCCCAGGAAGACTTGTGTACCTGCCCAGAAACAGGAATTCTCTGCAAACCAAGGGACTCCTTTGGTAAATTGAATTCCAGGTCCTCACACTGCCCCCAAGTTAAATCCATTCTCATTCCCTGAGCTACTCTTGCCACATTGCTGTTGCTACCTTATTGTCTCCTTGGTTTCTCTGATGTGGTGAGATTGGATCCAAGTAAAGCATCTTCATTCTCTGAACTCACACTACTGACTTCACAGTTTATTACTTCCAGCTTTGTTCCTGAGACGCACCATGAGCTCGACCCACCTGATGGCTTCCTGCCTTTCTTGTTAGCTTCAAATTATATTTATGTTTTCACTGCATGGTTTTATTTTTATATCATAACATTTTTCTCCCTATCTCCTTTCTGTTACCAGCCTTGAGATGTTTGTGAATCCTACTTTAATTTCCCTTTCCCATCTGGGCTCTTTTCATGTGTCCTTGATTCCTGCCCACCCCCGGCCCCCAACCTCAGCCTATCACCTGGCCTGGTCAGTGGCAAGCCTCAGATCATAAGCCATCAAAATCACTTTGTACTAAGAGATACAGAAAGATCAGACAATGACAAAGAAAAAAGGGAGTCTTCTTTTTATTATTTGTTTTGTTTTGAAACCAATGTAAGCTAACGGCATTCTTATTTACTAGTCTACTTATAAACAAGGGGAAAGAAATGAAATTTTTGCAAATCCTCGCTCCGCCTGCCTATCCCCCCACCTCCATCTTGCCTCATCTGAGCTAAACTCACATGTTCACTGGAATGAGCCATTAACTGATGAGGCAGTGCCCCAGCTGTGGAGTGAATGTTCCTTTCCAAGCCCATTTCCACTGGGGGTCAGCTGACAGGGCGAAGGCACTTGGCCTTCCAGGGCTGCCGTGCCCAATGGGCATTGCAACTGGGGTGAGGGAAGAGGTAGGGAATGACATGGTATGAGCTCTGAGTAGACCCAGCCCAAGACACAGCTCTGCCTTTTCTGGCGATGTGGCCTGGAACAAGTCACTTTCGTTATCTGGCTCCAGTTTTATGATCTAGAAAGGAGTTAGACCAAAGAATCTCCCAAGACTCTCTTACCTGTAAGAATCTGGGAGGTCTGTGCACAAGAAACAAGACAGCTCCATATCGTGTGTGCGTGTGCACGCTGGGGTCAGACCAGCTGAGGTTTTCAAAGACCAGCAGTAGCCAGCAGCTCTGGAATGTAATGTTTAGCTACAGAAACATACAAACCAAATGCAAAGGGAGAGTCAGGTTTCCTTCTCTTTTGCTTTAAAGTTAAAGCAAAACTTTATTCGAATCTGTATTCGAATCTCCCTTGGGGGTTGGGAGAAGCCTAGACGACCTCTTGACGAGGCTACAAGGCTATGATGGAGAGGCAAGGGAAGAACAGCAGTTGTGCATGTGATTAAGGTCCTCTGGTTCTTTGTGGTTCTAGGCCCCATCGCTGTATCAGCAGCTGCCAGTCATATTCGACCTTTAGCTCTGAGAATTTCTCTGTGTCTGATGGAGAGGAGGGAAATACCAGTGACCACTCCAACAGTCCTGATGAGTTAGCAGACAAGCTTGAAGGCCACCTGGCGGAGAAGCTGGATGACCTACTGTCGCAAACACCAGAGATCCCCATTGAGATATCCTCGCATTCCGACGGGCTCTCTGACAAGGAGTGCGCTGTGCGCCGCGTGAAGACACAGATGTCTCTGGGCAAGCTGTGTGCAGAGGAACGTGGCTATGAGGTGGGGCTTCTCCCTTCTCATCACTGTAGCTTCTTGGGCTTACAGCATGCCTGTGTCCCTGAGCCCTTTACAGTTACCATTTAGTATATGAGATAAGACAGGTGCCTCCAAGAAGTAAGTAGAATCCAGAGATCCACACAGCTCTCCAAATAAGGGCAGGGCTCCCAAATGAGGCACAAACATCAAATTGCACAGGCCTCCTTCATTCTAAGGTCAGGTCAAACATGACCTCCTCCTGACCTCGTCTCGCTCCTCCGTGTCCCCACCATCCCCTGGATGACGCTCTCATTGCACATGGGACACTTGAGGTCCTGCACAGCACAGGCCAGTCCCTGTCTTGGAAGATGGGCTAGCACAGTGGCTGAGAGGGTACACCGGGCATCTGAACAGACGCCACACCCAGCCGGGGTTCTCTACTGACTGCCGCGCTGGGCAAGCTGCTCACCTGTGGGTCCGGGTTGGTGTCTGCAAGGGGCAGTGATGACAGCGTCTGTCTCCTAGGGTGCTTGTGAAGATTAAGTGGGTTTCTGGTCGTAAAGCACTTGCAGGAGTGCCCAGATCACAGCCGACACTATGCAAGTGGGGCTGAGGCGGTCCTGCTGTAATTGCCATCATCATCGTGGCCGTCATCACCTTTCTAGGTCTTCTTTCTCCAGGAGCCCTGCAAGGGCAGGACCTGGCCTCATGTATCTTAGCCAGCAACCCAGAGCGGTGCCTGTCACGTGGGAGGTGGCCAATATGCATTTACTAAGCAATTGCCCAAGTGAATGGAGGTTTTATTTTGTCTCCACTTTGCAGAATCCTATGCAGTTTGAAGATTCGGACTGTGACTCTTCCGATGGAGAGTGTTCTGACGCCACGGTGAGGACCAATAAACACTACAGCTCTGCTACTTGGTAATGGAGGAAAACCCATCCTGAAGATCTCACGACTATACTGGCATTTCAGATCCTTTCCCCCGTCCCCCCCAGACTCTTTCCCCTCTCTCCTTGCTTTTTTGTCTGGGAAGAGAGCTGCCCCATCTTTCTTACCCCTAGAAATGAGCTGCAATAACAGGAACATGAGACTTCGCAAATCTCTGGAAAAAAAATATCCAAATGAAATTAAGTCTCACTGAACATTTCAATCAAGAATGGCAGGGATCTATTTTATTGAATATTCTAGCTACTGTAACATTGATATTTATTTTTGTTTGACATTTTAACACTTTGTACTGTAAAGAGTGAACTATATATGATAGAGAGAGACAATAATTTCTTGCAAAAAAAAAAGAGAGAGAGAGAGAGAGAGTGAGAGATAAAGGAAGAAAGAAGTGGAATTTAGGAGCAACATCCTTGGGAATTTGTGGGGCCAGGAGGTATTATTGCTACTTGAACAGGGGACCAGTTCTTTTGGCCATAAGTGACTGAAGAAGAGCCAGAGCAAGACATATTATTTTAGAAAACAAAGAACAACAAAAGAAAAACAATTCCAGGTAACTTGTGAACAGACCACATTAAGTTCAACCAGCTTGTCCACATGGGTGATGGAAATTGTCTAGAAAAGATTGGTGACCAGATACTTACACCCAAGGTCGTTGAGGGCATGTGCTTCCTCCAGGAGGAAGAAGACAACTATACCTGTGGAAGCTGATTTCATTTGAAAAATTTGAAGCAGCATTTTGTAGTGAGACTTACAGATAGCATCAGACCTTGTCTTTGACAAATACTTCCCTTTTTAATGCCTTCATCGTCATGACCTTGACCAATGTGTGACCTTGACCATTGTGTTGATTTTTCAGACTCAAGTGCCATTTTCTTGTAGCCTATTTCCTTTCCACCTGTTGACCACTTCCTTTAGGAAGAAGGGTGAGGGGTGCTGATTTAAGAGAGAGAGGAGATTTACCACAGTTTTTGAAAAGCAAATGTGGAATTAATGGAAGTACATTCTCACAGTGTCTCAGTTGAGCTTCAAGCAGAAGATGAGACTGCCCCTCTGTGGAACCCGGTTGCTTGTCTACTAGAGTCATATTGATTCAAACAGAACACACTTTGAAGGCAGCTAGCATGTGTGTGAGTCTGTCCAGTGTCCAACCCCAAGCCATCCCCCTTGTTTTCATTTATTAACTCATCCTATCCGGGAAGCTTTAGTGCGTGGCTACCACTAGCAGCATAAAGGCAAAACAAGCATCTTGCAAAAGGCAACCCCTTTCCCACCACAACAGCATTTTCATTAAATGCAACTTGTAAAATGTATTTTACTGCACTCTGGATCAATGCAGTTTGGAATAATTGGATTTGGAAATTTCTGGAAAGAACAACCTGTGCTGAGCAGCAATTAGAAAGATCTGACATTGTCCAAGGCATGAGGTTCTGCTTGGCTTGGGGTCATGGGCTTTGAAAAGTACCCCAGGGTACTTGATGGTGCCTCAGCTCCAAGGAAATTTTTACCTAGAATTTTATATAGAAGCAGGTGTTGGCCTAGCTTCTGTCTCTTTCTCCAAGAAAGGTTACTGTCAAACAACCTCTCTAGGCTCAAGACCTAAAGACCGTGGCTCAACGCTTTGGTACTGCATCATGTTGGACATTAGGAAAGACTTACACATACAGGTATTAAACTATTTCCAACTCAGATGAAACCATTGCCCCCCCTCGGTGTCACTGATTGCATCAGCCAAAAAGGAAAGGCGGAGGGAATTTAGAGCAGTTCCTTTTGCTTGTTTGATCCCTCCATTTGTTTACACTTTATGTTGAGACATTGATTTAAAATTTAGTGTCTATAATTTATAGCTCTTAGCTTGGATGAAGGAGAATGTTTAACTTATACAGAGAGCAGTATTGTTTGCATTAAATTATTCCATTTTGTATAAATTCTGTAGCTGGACTACATGAAAAATCTTAAGTTATGGCATTATTATCATTGTTATTTTATTTTATAATAATTATCATTCTCATTTTCTGTTGATCAGAAGGTGTGGTTTACAGTGTAGCACAATGATTGTGTGTATTGCTAACCGTGAGTAATGATGGCTTTTTATGACCTTGATGAAGGAATGAAAATGGAACTGCCATTTGGGAGCTCCCTGGTACTCCCCTTAGTTGTAGTCCCTCATTTTCTCTGTGCAACAACAATCATTGAGGGTCTGGGTTCTGCACTGGAGCCCAGTGGATACACTGTGGTTTTTGACTTGATCCTCAAAGCTCCTGGGTGGGCAGGTGACTGAGTGGATGGACAAAGACTTCAAAAGCTGTAAACTTTCTCAAGTTTCATAAGAAATAAAATCATGGGACTACCTTAGAAGCCAAAAGAGAATTATTTAGTGTCCTGGGAGGAACCGGCCTAGGGAGTTTCCTCCCGGGGCCCGTGGGTTAGGCAGCGTCGGGAGCGGTCGGCAGTTCGTCATCTCCTTCCTGCTGGGTCCTGTAGCATCAAAACCTTTTTTTTTTCTCTCCTGGCTGGGAATAGCAAAGAAACATTAAAAAGAAGCAAACAAAAATTTAAAAAAAAATATATATATATATGTCATGACACTGACATAAATTGCCTAGCTGTGATGTCATCCCATAAAAGATGAGAGAAATTCTAGAAGGAGGCCTAGTCGCTTAGAGGGTGATAGGGCTGGAAAGGTACCTTGAAAGGCCGTAGTTTGCATCGTTGGACTTTCAACCACACTGTACTGTAAATCCCTCTGCTTCGTCGCTTCTGGGAACAGAGAAGCTACAAGCCTACATCCTCCTTCTCTCCAACTTGAAACGTGCTTCAGCTCGTCCAGTTCTTGCCCACCTCTAGTGGCAAAAGGGAAACGTGAGGGTCAGCTTCTGTCTTACGCCTCTCAGTGATGGTCTTCCCAGAAAACTCATACCTGATACCTCATAATTCTGATATTTTTTTGAATTCCCATCTTGACTGCTTGTCATGATAATGCCATATCTACCTATTGGGTTTACTGTTATGAGCATGTTAGGCTAGTAGGGCAGTGTTGAATCTTTAGCCATTCCTTGTATTGTCAAGAGTTGAATAAAGTTCCACGTTGAACGTTTTTATTTTTATTTTTATTTTTAGTAGAAGTGACTAGAGGCTTCAGAAGAGAACAGTATCGATAGCCTAGGTTAAAAGCCTTTTCTAGCATAGCCTGGCCCTTCATTGCCTGCCTTGAGCTAACCAGGACCGTTGTGAATCAGTGTATGTTTCTTTGAGAACAACTCCACGGTTACCTGAAGACTGCTGCGTCCAGAGCTCGGGGAATCGAAGAGCTGATTCTTCAGTCCTCAGGACTCTGATTTCAAGCTTCAGTGTTGGGATTGAAAAGTTAACCCCCTTGGGATGAGTGTTCACCCTCATTTAGCATCTGTTTTTGACTGACTGCAAAATAATGAGTTTTCATTTGTCTTGCCGGTGAACATTTGGTTTTGATTTTATCTATTTCTAGATCATGTCCTCTGATAACAATTCCTATTAAACTTGCTTAGCAGAGGGACTGACAAGCGACATCCACTTTGAAATGGTAATAGACCTTACTGCCCGTGAAGTTTAGATCTGTTTGTAAGATAGTGGGGAGTTCCTACTCAAAAAGGGTGAAGATAGCTAGCTAGCTCTGTGGTAAGATGATTTGGTGCAGCCTACTGGAATTTCAGATATTTAAAAACTTTAGTATCAACAAATCATCCTTATAGAATTAAGGATTTTTTTAAAGTAGTGCTTAGAAAGTACTGGACATTTCAGGGCCTCATTGTGCTAACTTTCCCTCTTATCCCAAGTAATAGATGTGATGGTATTGGAGTTTCCTGGTACCAACCCAATTTTAAATGCCCTTCCCTACTGTGAAACACTGACATCCATTCTGTGTGAATGCAGCCTTACTGATCAAATATTTTACTTTTTTATCCCCATGCTCTTTTGTCTCAAGTTTTTCCCCTTTTCGTAAAATGTTCTCATTTGAACTTCCTGGAACTGAATTCTCCAGAATAGAACACATTGGAATCCAAGTACCTGCTTTGCAGTACAGTGTGCTGTTTTGTTTTTCCACTAAGCCAGAAACCAAAATAGGACTGTATACTGCCCTCCACCACCTCCACCCCAAACGCCCAAGATTGATGTTACTTACTGACCGCCATCTTCTTTCCTGCCGAGCCTGGACCCAGCCTCAGAACCTCTCCCAACAGAGCGCTGGGAACAACCACCACCATCTGATTAGAATTGGTGTGTAAGGGGAGATCTGTTTTGGCATCCCAATCCTAAACTCATAATTAATTCTCTCAAGGTGGTTTGGTATCTTGAGTTAGCCCTGAAGGGAGAGTGACAGGATCACACCAGTATCCTCCTTCTGGAGCCCACCCTGTGGCTCACTGGCAGGAAAAAAGCCACTTGCTTCCACCCACTGCCCTTTTGGACAATTCCAGTTGAAGAATTTCCAAACACTGATGAACGGAATTCAAAAGTGTCTCTTCATTTATATCATTTCATTGTGTTCAATAAGGATGTTCCTCCCTCCCCTTCTACGAACAAAGTATGTTAAGTCCCAGTTATTTGCTTCTTTGTTAGGCTCCATGAGGCTAATGTACCAAAACAATGTGATACTCTTTTTAAGACTTTGACTTGTACTGTCAGTATGAATTTAGTGCCTTTCCAGGCAGCAAGATTTTTCTTCTTCGCTGATTTCATAGAATAAACACCCTTGTATACCCCTACCACTAATGTTACCAACCTCATAGACTAGCACGTAAGAATTACATTAGTTGGCTCGTTTGCATGGTACAACCAATACTGCAAGCACCTAGTCAAACTGGAATGAACAAGGTTGCCAAGTGGAAGACCCTTCTGGAACCTGGAACACTTCTCAGGGACAAACGGCAGAAGAGGGGAGCTCTCAAAGCACTGCTTTGAGAAACAGGGTTACCTCAAAGGAGTTGGGGTGAGGCTTTTAACTGTCACATGATGAGGGTATCGTGGCAGGATTTCACAGAGACAGGCCCCCACGTGGATGCAAGGCTGCTGTAAGGAAACTTCCAGCAGAATGCCAGGCTTACTCTCTGGAGCCACTTCACAGCACTCAGGGGAACACCGGCTCCTGGCCCCAGGCTGCTGCCCAGTGACCTGGCAGAAGGGGTCCTCCAGTGGTTCTCCACAGAGAGCCCCCCCCAGTCAAAATGTGCAAGCTCTTAGGAAGATGTCCCTCAGGGACTATATTACCCAGGTGGCTCTCCACTTCTCCTCAGATTCCAGAAGTCGGAAGACCCACTTGGATTCTTGATTGCAATAACTGGAGTTCCTATCAATTTGGAGCAAATTCTTT